TGAGTCCTGGCGTCACTCTAGTTAAATTCTTCCTTTAGCTGGTGTCTCTTTCTCCAGTTCCTCCACCATAATATTTCTGATCCATATTAAGTTACAGCGTTATGCAGATCAACGTATTGTAATGTTGTATTGGGTGAAAAGTTAAAGTGTCCATGACTTATCCACATATTTAATTTTCGACGCTTCTTAGAGCTCAAAATTCGGGTTAAGAATTACCATATTTTTTATGGTGTAGAGTTTCCTGACACGGGATATTTCAACAGGTTCCCCGGGCTAGTCATTAAGGTCATTAACCGGGCGGTGATTTCGGTGTGGTGGGCCTTAGTGGTGTGAGGAGCGGTGGATCTTAGTGGGTGTGGGGAACGGCAGGCCTCACAGCTCCTCTAAATAAACACATCGTCTCCCCTGTTGTGGTGTGACGTCCTGACACGTAAACACACACCTCTCATCACCACCCTTACTGCCTCCCGACCCCCAAAAAAAGGTAAATATAACATGTCAAAGCTTGATAAATATATTCCGTATGATAGTAAATATAAAGTGGCTACAGAATCACCATATAGTCTTAACACCTTCTACGACATAACTCCTGTCTACCACCATCACTATTCCCACCCTATCACACGTACTCCTGACTCTACTCTACCCTTCATTTTTCTCATTGCTGCCTCACACCCTTCACCCTCACGACCACACATCCTGCACCCTTTGTCCCCATGACCACCCAGCCCGCCAGCCCCTCCTCTCTCTCCTGTATGCTCCAGCTCTCGTCATGATCTCACTAAGACGAACCACACCTCGATATTCGTGCTGGTGATGCTGGCCACCTGGTTGTCCCCCCCCTCCCTCACAGTACACGTTTCCACCCCACAACATATTAAAAAACAAGTCGGACGAACTATGGTGGTACAGAGGAGAACGTATTTGCCCGAGTTAAGAAGGACGGCAAACTAACGTAAGAATCTCTGGGAATCTGAGCCCAAGTTGTCCTGTGTTAGAGCCACTAAAACAGGCAAGCGAGGCTGCGCTGGTCCGGCTGCACCAGATTATACCAGCCAGACGGTACAGGATTTTCTTTTTCAGATGTATTTTCTAACCGGTTCTGGTTTCCCAAATCTCTATGCATAATTAAACTCCCTTAACAGTCCTTCATAACTTGCTGAAGCTTTCTCCTGATGGTTCATTACCCCTACACTGTCTCTACTACCCGTCGCTGTGATTTGCATTCGAGTATCTTATAATTTTCTCTACCTTAAGTGACGTCTCGTAACAGTAGTATCTCTTTTTAAAACTACATCGTGTGTGTTTAAGTGCCTATCGAATTTCCTAGACAGTTGAATTACTTTACACCCTCTGTAGTATTCAATAAACGAACTTCAAAAATCACAGGCGGTAGATATAACATTGCGATGTCTTAAATTCCCCCCGTGTTTACGAAAAATCATCACATGTCTCAGCACCCACGACCCAACTCATCCTCTTGGGCCCCAGCAGGGAGGAATCTTTCACGAGGAGAAGCCGAGGATTAGAGTTAAGGAAAGCTCCTAGGACGTGAGTAAAGGCAGCCCTGCAGGTGAAGAAGAGTCCGTCTCTGTTGTAAACGTGTGTAAATGGGGGTGGGGAGATGATCCAGGGAGGTTTGTGTGGGGAGACCAAGGGCGAGGAGAGCCTTTAGGCATGGATATGTTTAAAGGGGCAGAGGGCGTCGTGTAGTATAAGGGTTACGGGGCTTCTCTGAAAGGTTGACTTGAGAGCGGGAGTCTGTGGGTGGTGAGCTGGGGTGTCTTCGGACAGGTATCTGAGTGAGGATGTATACGAGAATAAATCTATGGGAGTATTGAGTTTATTATTTCATGTATTGTCTGCGTCGGGGGGGGGGTTACGCGAAAAAGTGTTTGTAAAATGAGAATGTACGAGGGACACAAGGGAGGGGTCGGTCAGATGGATAAGAGCATTAGGTACGACTGTTTTAATACCAGGACAAAGTACAGGTAAGGCTGAAAAGGATTATCACAGGTATGAGGGACTACACACGTTGTTTGAGAGAGAGGTATAAATAAAAGTACTGATGGCAAGATTGACTTAATTTGATATATCCATGTAGTGAGTGTGTTTCTTTGTGTTTACGTATACAGCAAATTTTTTTTTATTTTAATGGCGGTAAAAAGACGGAATAAATAAACCAAAACGAAACTAATCTATGATATTTAATTCCCCAAAAGACGAGAGTACAAGATGTATTTTCTCCAGTGTCGTGTGACTAATTCAGGGTGAGGGAGGAAGGTGGTGGTGGCCGGGAAGGGTGTGGACGGGACCTGGCCTCAGGGGTCGTCCCACCACCGAGCTCCTCGGCTATCCAGTTTCCTGCGCCTTCTGCTGCCCACCTTCCCCACTTGTTGTATTATCTACTTTATAAACATATCCATGGTAGTGTACACTCCTTGTTGCGTCAAATCCTCGTGTTGTTGACGTGTTGAAGTACTAGCCAATCTGGGTACACAAGTTCTGAAGTAGGTCACCTGTCGTTAAGTTTAATGTCATTATAATAAACGTATCCATTAATGTTAAAGTCTTTTAACTGTCGTGTAATTATATAAAATATCGCCTGCAAAATATTTGGTATTGTTTCTAGATAATATAAACAGTGAGAGTGTGGTGGGAGAGAAGGTTGGGGGTGGCGGGTAGTCTCTGGGCAGTGAAGGTGGGCCACTCAAGAAATGATAGGGCGGAGGGTGGGCAGGTATGGTGGGTAGCGATAGTGGGCAAGTATGGTAGGGTCCCACCCGCCACCCCCAATGTTTCCTGGGGTCTAGCAGCCAGCCCCACCTCCCGCTATGGCCGCCACCATCACTCCCACAACCTACAGCCCAGGCGACGGCTCAGCCTCACCCATTACTACTGTACGAGTCACTGTTGGCCAGCTACAGTTGTCCATATTTGGGACACCAGGTGTTGGTGATTATAAGTAATTTGGTAGATAATAGAAAACGTTGCTTGGTGCATGCACCCGGTTGCCTGGGTACGCACGTTTGTGTGTAATAATAATAATAATAATAATAAACGGTTTATTTATAGAGTTGCAGCCGGTGTGTGTGTGTGTGTGTGTGTGTATTTTGTGTACATTTGAATGCCATGAATTCTTTCATCCGCGTCTGTACGTGTACACTAATTGAAATATTTGTATCACTGTGTCTTGCACGACTACAGGACTTAGAATGTTTGAAAATGTTAGCTGCGAGATATACGTGCAAATGCTTAAATATGATACATGTGACCTTCATTCGCTGAATTGTCAGACACGCACTGAAGGACAGACCAACCCCAGAAAGTTTGTAAAGTTCACAACTAAAATACGTGAAAATCGTTGTCTTGGAGGTAAAACACACCAATTTAACTTGGCTTACTATCACTATATTTTATCGGACTTTAAATACAGCGTCCGTTATCCTCGGCTATATAAAGGGAGAAAGAAAATTGGCGTGGATAATTGTGTTGTGGACAGTGAGAGGCGGCGGTGTTTATTGGGGTGTGTGTGTACTCCTGGCTCCTCACCCACCCATACATTCCCGGGCTGGTGAGTGATGTTAGCTGTTGCTGTTTGATGGTATCCATTCAATATATACCTCGCACCTTAGCCAATCATATACCGGGGAAAAGACTGATCTTGGTTTTCATTGGTGTGGGAAGTGAGGTCAATCGGCAGGTCCAGAATGATTCGGGGGGATGTCCTTGCGGGTAAAAGTGTAAATTCCATTCATTCATTCATTCATTCATTTCAGCAGCACATTTCAGTATGGTACACATGCCACCTTGTCTTGATATTGTAGCATGAATTACTATTCATTTTGCAGTGATAGATTTTTTACTTTACGGTAGCGTGGGGTGACAGGTCAGGGGAGGTCAACCCAGGAAGGAGTCATCATAATAAACCTCGCCTCGGGCAATCCAGTGGTCAGCGGGTCAAGTGCACTCATCCGATTCCCTGCTTAAATCACACGATAAAAACTCTTGAGAACATCATAATATGTTCTCTTCAAACACATAACATCGGTGTTTTGATTTAATAATGTGAACTTAGCAAAATAAATGGTATCCGAACATAACATTACGGACACGAGGTTGGGCAAGAAAGCAAGGAATCGGACGCTACGGGATGGTTTAGGGGCGGAGGTGGTGTCCGCTCTTGAGTTGAGTCAGTTCAGTTCACTCAGTCGTGTTTGTGCCTCTGGAGAGGGAGTTTGTAGCGGGTGATGCTGGGCCGCGTTGCCCGGAGCGACTGCTATTCTGTTTGGTCCTTATCTGGGTATGACGTTACCCATCTCCCGGACCCGAAGCGAATAGTTGTGTAGTTCTTCAATGTCATTGATGAAAATTCATATATAGTAAATCACTATTAATTAAATATCTGTGATAGTGATGACGTGTGGTGAGGACAAAGTACGGAGTGGACGGACAGGCGGCTGTGTGGCCCCACTACTGTGTCTAGGGGGTGCAGACTCACCCGCGGTAATCCGTCGTCGGGTATTTGTCCCTCACAAAGTCAGGGAAGCAGAGCCAACCGTACAGCTCGCGGGTGTGAGGAAGCAACCGTCACAAACCCCCAAGGGACGTAACAAGGGCGCGGCGTTCCGAAGGGCATCAACACGGCTGGGAAACAGTGTAAGAAAGGCCGCTGCCCTGAGACGTTCCCGCAGTGAGCGTGTGTTGGCCAGGCCGGAAATTATAGTGGTACATGATCCTCTGTACGCCGAGATTGGGCGCGACCCCTACCGTCACTCACCTCGTGAGAACACTGAAACACTGTATGACGTACCTGTGCCTCGCCTGGCTAAGGTTACCCGTCTTAGACGTTCCTCTAGTTCTGTAAACACTAGTGCCAAGGATGTGTCTGAGTGTGGTGGTGCGGGGAGGCCGCGGAGTAACACCCTGTCTACGGGGAGTGACCGGCCCTGGAGGGCACCTGTCAGCAGGGGCAGTAAACATGTGCTTCTCCCCAATAGCTGTGTGGCCACCAAGGACCTGTGGTACAACAAGCTGTGTCAGGTGATAACCGAGGAGCGGGACAAGGAGCCGCCTTCAACCACCATCCAGGTCACCTACTACGACCCCGTCAACAACATCGACTTTGTGAGTACCTCTCATGTGTTTATTAAGATGTGAGGAGGACGATGAGTAGTGCGTGTACGTGTGCATATCTCACTGGCTGGGTGTGTGTGTGTGTGTACATCTCACAACACAATATGGTTATGAATAACAATTGCAGATGATCTAATATATAGTAAACATCACAAAACAACAACAAAGTCTAAATACAAACGAACACTCTTTCCCACACAAAAGACATTAAAAAACACGCACACACACAAACAAACGTCCTTGCTTACACACACTCTTACTTGATGATACACACAATTGACAGAGTTCTTGTCCGCGCACACACAATCACCCACCGCTAGTTCACGTAAAAATAACAATACTGTGTAATGTACAAGTATATCCCAAGACCAGTGTATGCTTTTCGCTATTCAACTCCCATCTTAATGCAACTTTTTTTTAAAATGTTTTACACTATAATAATGCATGATTGAAATACATGGGAAATATAATTTATTCATTTTACTTATCTATTTGTATTATCACTATTCTTGATGCTCCCCACATTAATTTATCTTATTTTTGCAAATATTATTACTATTTCACTTCCAATATTCTTCTACCGTGTTTTACAATTACACACATACACATTCACTTACAAACATATAGTCTTTCACGCATGCATAACTGTACACACATACACGTAAGCACAAGGAAACAAGAGCGATGACCGTCTGGATGTTAAAATGCCCAAGTCGTCGGCAACATAAATTGGGGTGCAGTCGCGCTTATAGTAAAAAAGATCACTTGAATTCGCTCCCAAGGGTAACACAACAATGTCATCTGACGAAGATATATTTCTAAACCAATTTCTACTAGTGAGACCCTTTAAAGTTCACTTCTCCACTCTCAAATGGAAATATTACAAGAAATTTTTTTCTTTGACTCGATACTCCCGAATGATTAGGCAAATAACTAAAATTGATTAAAATGAAATTTCCAATCCTGGAGATGATTCAACAAATTACTTACAGGGTAGATGCAAATAACGGAAAGGTGTGGGAAGAGAGATAAAGAAAATCAGTACAGTATAAATCGTTTGTTTTCTCTGTAGATTATGATCAAAATAATAAGAAAAACTTACAATATCACTGTAGACAAGTCAAATGGATGTTGATCTGATGGCAAAGTACGGTATGCCTTCTTTTGATGACTATGAATATTGAAAAATGGAAGTGAATATTGCAGGAAGCACCACTTAGGTATGATACCTTACAACATACACATAATTTCCATTCAATTGGTTATAGGGAATATGACCAAGCTAATGTGATCTCATAACAATACATTACTACAGACGATTGCACATATATTAATAAATTAACCTCTATACCGACAGTAAGACACCTATCTCAACACAAACCTCTATATCAGTATACAGTACAGTATATAGAAAGGTCACCAATTTAACCTTTAGAACCCCCAAAAAACTTGATCCATACTTCCTATAGAGCCCCCCCCCCCCCAACAAAAAAAAAAAACTTTTAGCCATATGCATGTATAGCAAATAACTAACCCTACATTATGAACTTAGCCTAGAATACTAATTTCTACCCCACCCACAGAGCAAGATGGTGAGCATCAGTTCGACAACAACAGCACGAGAGTGTGTGGCGCTCACCTTAGACCACCTGGAGATGGGTGGGGCAGACACCTCCCAGTTTCAGTTGTGGGTGAAGACTGGCTTGGATGATTCCCCTTACCCACTCATTGGCCACGAGTACCCCTTCGCCATCAAGCTCAATTGTGTCCGTGACCTCCTGCAGGACTGTGATGCTGAACAGTGTAACAATCTGTACAATACCGAGCTGGTCACCCGCTGCCAGTTTATCCTACGACAAGCTCGGAAACTGTCTTTTGAGTCTCCAGAGGGGGTGAAGAAGGTCTCCAAGAAGGCCCGCAAGTCTCCTATAAGGATCCACCGGGTATTCAAAAGGTCCAATAGCAAAGGGGAGTCTCTGGATGGAAGTGTAAACTCATGTGCAGGCGCCTTTTATGGGCAGTCCCTCGTCAAGCTAGTGGAACCAGAGAACAGGCTGCCCAAACCTGTCATGGTGAGTGGTGACCCTTGAGTGAACTCTTCAATTTTTAGTCCAACAAAGTAAAGAGTAAACACTTTCTGATGAATATGAAAATCTAATAAATGTGTACCAATAATGTAGGGATAAATTTTCAAGCATTCCTATAAAATATTTAATACAGTACGTACATAATAATTTGTTTAACACATATATTATGTGTACAGAATATCTTATTTGGAGATTTAGAAAATATGTTAAAACAAAGGTCTTCTGAACCAGTAAGGCTGTTTGTTTCATGTTTGAAAATACAGGTACATGTATCCCCCGATCTGCATTGTCCCTATGTACGATATTCTGTGTTAATGATTCTAATGTATTAAAACCACCCCTATTTGTGATGTAAACCTACCAACTTAAAATATGGAACGCATCACTCACTGCATTTGTCATCTACTTGAATACTGCCTCGTGGCCAGCTGGTGAACTACAGTCCAGCCATTGCTTCCTTTTGAATTGAATTGAAACAGTTTATTTAGCCAGAACAACACAGATACAGAGTGGATAATAATAACAATATTAACATGGTTGAGCCAGTTGAGAACCTGAGCTCTCTTTTAGGCACCTGATATATACTATACATTTATCTCAAGGAAGTATTATGTAACATTTAGTATCATCTGGAATAGTACAATAGCATGGTGGTAATAAGAACATCTTATAATGTTACCACGGTTATCACTTCAATATTTTTTTTTTATACATAAATTACAGTGAAATTGAAAAACATAAGTATAATGGGGGAGCAGTACAACATGGGTTGTACAGTAATAAGGTTGAACAAGAGGACAGAGCTGTCAAGATTATGGCTAGTTGGCAAATATGTTTATTGCAATGGAAATTACTTATCTATTTACATGATAATTTTTGATAAAACGGTTTTAATGGTCACTTGTGTGGAAGAACTATGGCTCAATGTTTATTGTATTTAAATACAGTATATTGTACTTGTGGAAAATTCCACTGTCTTCACTGACACACAGCTCCGTCCACAGGGCCCCTCGCACGTCCGTATCATATACTGTCCAGTAGATTTTTAGCGTTTTTAAGTATATTTATTTAACCAAACTTTTAGGTAAACTATTCAGCATTATTTTAGTAAAAAAAAAAGATGTTTCTAACTAAATTAGAGCCGCTTTTACAGACTTCAGTATCTCCATGAAAGTATTGAGCACATCATTATTGTGTTTTTTGTAACTGAAGTGAACAGTGTAATATTGAAAATGTCTTAGGAAGGCATCTCCACTCCACCTTAGAATGGACATGTGATGATGACCAGGCTTATTCATTATGATGTGGGAGTGTTAATTAATTTTTAGTAATATCGTATTTGTATTGTAGGAATTTTTTTGGGTGATGCATGTGGGTGTCCAATTGACCAGGAACCTATCTCATTGAGCCCTATGCAGTAATTCTCCCAGTCTACTATATTTCGACCTGCAATGAGTTTTTTAGGAACCTAACCCAATCGCATATCGGGGTATACCTGTACTGCATTAAAAAATTATTGGCGAAGTTTTCATACCGTCGGATTACAATTACTGTATATTGAGATTTTTATTTCCATTTTCAGGACATGCTGTCGCAGTTGTTCCAGAAGGGACCCTTCACAGTGGGAATCTTCAGAAAGTCGGCCAATGCACGGCTGGTGCGGGAGCTGCGGGAGAAGCTCGACAGCAACGAGGCAGACGGGGCCATTGATCTCGAAAATGTACACATCACAGCCGTTGCGGCACTTCTCAAAGACTTCCTTCGATCTATGCCCGATTGTTTGCTGGTTGCTGACCTATATGAGGAATGGCTAAAACTATCACAAATCAGTGGCTTGAGAGAACGAATATCAAGAACACTACTCTTGTGCTCTAGGTTGCCTCGAGCCCACCTCATCCTTCTTCAGCACTTCCTGTGTGTGCTGCACCACATCACTCGCCGCTCCTCCGAGAATATGATGCCTGCCTCAAACCTTGCTGTGTGTGTTGGTCCTTCCATCTTGTGGCCATCTTCCCCAGTTGTAGCACTAAGTCCTGAAGCCTCCAAGCAGGTGCCTGCTGTAGTGGAATTTCTCATTGAACGATGTGGAGATATATTTGGCCAAGATATGCTCCATTTACTTGGTGAACCACCAGAGCGGGACCCCATGAGACAAGACAGTGGAGCAGAGGAGTCTGACAGCCTACATAGTCTTCACAGTGGCCACAGCCTTCACAGTTCCAGTGGCATGAGAAGGGATGACAGCAGTATAGATTCCTTGGAGCGAGAACTACTAGTAGAGGGTGAACTGTCTCCATTGCCTCGCAAGGACAAGATGTCTTTGACCAACTTAAGCCGTGACTCTGGTCTCACCATGAGTGACTCTCAGTTGTATACACCTGATGAGGAAGAAAGCGAGTCAACGAGTTCTGGCCACTCTGGGGCTGACAAGAGCATCAGCAACTATAGCAGTGGTGGCCATTCAGAACGCTCCGGAGACCGTTTTCAGCACTATGCAGCTCCCAATAACCCAAATGCAATATATGCAGCTGTCTATCGTCGACCTGAGAAGATCCCTGTAGGATATGATGATCCTGAGAATTACTATGCTGCACCGAGTAGAGAACATGCTCGGATACAAATTACGTATTCTACTCCTGGATATCCCCATGGTCCCCCTGGCCAAGGCAAGGAATATACCAGAGTGTACCAGAGCCGCCAAGACAGGATGAGTGACGTCTACAGAAAAGGTCAAGAAGAGGAGGCCATATATAGTGTGCCAGCTGGATCATCAGCAAATATTGTGAACCCTCCTCCATTTGTTGTAAATTCTAACTTCCAGCGGCACGACTGGATGCGACGCCGTTCAAATCTGCGTAAAGTGTCCCGCTCAAGTAGTGGTGATGGAGGTCTGGTGCGTTCCACCTCAGAAGAAAGTCTTCTTAACAAATACAATGGTCTCGATTATGGTATTTCCATGGGTCCATCTGGCATTCCACCCAAACGGCCGGCACAACATGGGAAGGGTCGTGCCCCACCACCTCCACCTGGGGAAGAGATTGAAGACTGTCCAGTATCTGGAGGTAGGGAGTCTCCAATCCGAAGGTCAAAATCAGCGCATTACTTGACCGAGCCTGTGCGAGATGATGACAGATTGGGACGATCTCCTGATAACACACCAGCAGTGTCTCGATCATCATCACATGATGCTGTTGCCTGGCAACGCTCCCGTTCCACACCTCAAATACACGATGAGGCTGATCGCTCTTATGATTCGTCCACTTTGAGTGATGATGATTCAACTCCACATGTCTCACGATCCAATTCCAGAGGGAAAGAATATGGTGGTGGAGGCCTTAACACCTGGGAAGCAGTTTATGGCACAGAACACACTCCCTCAGATTCTGGTGAATCACACAACTCTCGAAACTCGTCCTTTAAGAGTGAACGAACGGGAAGTATGTGTACAGTGGTGTCTGCTGGAAGTACTTCAACACTCGCTTCTAACCCTCCATCCTATGAAGAGGCTCTTAATAGACGCTCTCTCATGTACCGAGGTGCGCCACAGCAGGGACACCAAGCACAGGGATCTCCATCCAACAGAGATGGACATTTTGCTGAATTTGCCATAAGAGAAGAAAAAATTAAATCTGCGAGAGCCAAACAATTGTATGAGGAGTCGCTGAGAATATATCAAGAGGAGAATACCTACCCAGGGGACTTAGTACGTGCCTCCCCAGCACAAGCTGAAGACAGTGACGAGTATGAACGGCCGCCACCCCTCCCTCCCAAGTCTGAACCTCCACCTCTGCCTCCTAAACAGCGTGGGAATGGTGGGAATGGGAGTCGCAGGGTGAGTGATGGTCTTGGCCGTCTTAAGCATCTCCCACCAGTACATGTGGAGACTCACGCTCGCAAGTCGCGCTCAGTCACTTCCCTACCCACATCATACGGATGTGATCCACCCTACCATAAAACTATCATATATACAGATGACAGCCCTCCAACGCTTCCTCCCAAAGAACGTACAGTAATTGAAATTGAATCGGCATACTCACAGTTTCCAGAACCTCGAGTGAGACAGACCACAAGTAGAGCTGTGTCACCACCCAGGGTAGAAAAGAAGAGCATAGAAACTCAGACTGATGACTATGATCTTGACGATGAAGTGAAGGACGAGGGCATCCAGACGTCAGGGACCTGGATGATGGAGCCTCATGTGACCTCAGTGTCTGTCCCTGACCCCAACTCTCATAATGACAAGCGGCGAGGCAGAGCTCGACGACGAGATTCTTCGGCATCACACCGCAGCAAAAGTGTCCCCACACGTGAGACAGGCTCCCAACAGCAACCACACTCCGGTGATGAGGAGGAAGAAGATGAATGGGATTACCACACTACTCCATCCTTACAAGACTTTGCCGTAGGTCCTGCCGCACTTCGTGACCTACGTCAGCTTGACCCTGATCTTAGACAAGAAATTAGTTGGTCAGTGTCTCAGCTTCGAGCAATATTTGGGGAAACTCTAAAAGGCGCCAAAGTTCACCCACCTCCTTACCGGCCGCCACCCTCTGCCCACCGCGCACCTATCACCTCATATCACCTAGGGGCAGGTGATTCATTTACCTCTCGAAAATCACGTCCACACTCTAACTACGGCGAGGAGTCCTATGTTTAGCATGTTGGAGCGCCTTTGCCTCACCCTGCCCACCGCGCTTACTACACTCAGCGGCCACGCTGTGCTGCATACACCGCCACAACTAACACCAGCCGACTCTCTGTTAGATTACTTCTCTAACGTACTAAATGCTCAAGATCATAGGCTTTTGTATGTATTTGTATTATATTATGTACATTCTGTACAGAATTACGCTCTAAGTCATACAAGTAAGGACCTCAAATAATAACTGTTATCAAATATGTGGTTGGTGGGTGACAAAGGGTGGTGGAGTGCAGCAGGGGTCTTTCCTTGCCTTCTCCCCACTCACCTCACACATCACCACCAAACTTTTGTAAATTACTATTACTAACTATACTATAATTGTTTATATGTTGTTAATAAAATCGGAGATTTATACAGATATCTTTCAATACTCTACCTTGTTTATACGGCTTAAAAATATACCTACTTGTTGAAACAAGGCAAATATTCCTGAAACAAAGTGCAAACTTATTCATGGCACTATCTGTAGGTAGCAGGCAGAACAACAGAATTACTATCTCCTGGGAAGATATTGGAAGCATAATGTGTTGTCTAATGGTAGACCCTGCTGCCACATGGCACCAAAAAAATTGTGACTAAGTCCCAGGTTGCTAATCTGACATTCTGCTTCATTTACACAACTGACCCTCGATGTGGGTCAGTGAGTGGCCTGGATGGGGTAATGCATTTAAAAAAAAGTGGTAAAACAAAGAAATTTAAACCCCATTTCTTTATGAAGAAACAATAGTAATGAAATATTAAAATAAAGCATTTTAATATTCATCAAATTACTACAAGAATTCGATTTCAGCTACAGTTGACTGAATTATCTTACTGTATTAATTTGGCAACATACTCTTCGTTTATTTCCCTCTAATTTTTGTAATGTTTGAGTAGCAAACATGATGCGTCCATGATGTTTAAAGTAATTTCACTGACCAAATACATACATTTTCTCGAATTTAGAAAGCCATCACTCAAATCATTCATAAGTAGCCTAAGTTTGCCATCAAGCTGGTTTAAGTATCATCTGGGGCAAAAATAACAAAGTTAACTCATACATGACGAAAATCAATGAATGCTTGATTTTGTTGTCACAAAATCAGAAGGCAAAGAACAAGAATCATTTATTCCAAACAAAAACAATTTCAATCGATATCCGAGGGTTGGCGACCACAATCCTCCCACTCACAATTTGGACAAGACAGACAAACCTACTGTTGTCTAATAATGGCTAAGTGGTGCTTCAAATATAATTTATACAATATTTCTCAACAAAATACTAAACACTTATATTAGGTAAAAAAAAATACTAGTTTAGATAAGTATTACATAAGCATCATGACCTCTCTTCCCCTGTGTTTTGTGCGCTAATAATTATGTCTTTCTCTCCAGCGCCCTCTACCTCCTTTTATCTGTAGCCCGTAAGTTTCACCAACAATACCCGTAGCTGCTAACCTCTACGTCTAATAAATCATCCCACCATCAATTCGTCTGCCCTTACTAGTGAATAGCTTACCGTATCCTCCGCTTGGTGATGTGTCGCGCCATCCAAGTAATGCTACACTCCCGCCTTGGTTTATCTTCACGCACACTCACAAAAAAATAAGGTGGGGGTGAAAGTGAGCGTGGAGAGCACCGAGTCCGTCACCTGTACACCACGGCTGCTGGAAACAAAGTATTTAGCAAGTTTTCATGAACAGCTTCGAACCAACCGAATCAGAAAGTCCGAATCAACGACCCAAGGACAAAAACTATATACGAAAGATAGGAAAGCAAGAGGACACCCGTACGTGTTATGCCGGAGAACCAAGAAAGATTATCCTAAATTTGTATACCATTCATTCCAGAAGGATAAAGAAAGGTTGGAGCACAGTTTTGAATTATATACATATGATATGACAGGTTTATTTATCATTATATTTACAAACAATGTGAAAACTCCCTGCAGGCAAAGTAGAATCTGATTTTTAAATATTATTCACAGGTGCTTGCAATGGATATAAGTACTGGGGCTTGAGAAACTTAAAGGAAAGAGCCCAGAAAATATAAGCATAAACACCAGATTATGCAACCTCATTTTTCCGAAGGCAATTACACTGCAGGGAAGGCTTTGTAAACATACATGTCCAGATATTAACCAAGGTTTGTATTATAATATGTACAGTCTGTCAAATATCAAACATTGATAATAAATATGTTATTTTATGATCCACATTTATATATTTTTGGGGGAAAATAAACCATAAAACTATTCATGTATATCCTTCACCCCCAAAATACTGACTGTTACTTATGATTCTAAAAAAACAAACAATGTGATATTTTATATTCTAAAGCATAGAAAATGAGTTGGCATTCAGTTGACTTTAATGAATACATGAAATAGGGTATTTATATGACACACAAAATATGCAAAAATATGTTTCTAAACATGAATAAAACTTAAAGGGAGTAACACGTCTTCCAGTAACTTATTATAAAGTAGCAAGGTGAACGACTAATTTATACATTTTATGTGTATTATATGGAGAAAATATAAAATTGGTTATATTAACATACCTTAAGCATATTTCATAAGAAAATTTTACGCGTTACCAACAGTTAAAATGATGATCCGTACAGTGATGAGCCACCTCAATAGAGGGAGGTGTAGTCGATTAAGACCGCACATCATTTATAATGGTAGGGATAATCGCTTTCGTATACTGTATAGCCTTTGCCCAAGGGGGGGGGGGAGGCGTTATGGCTCATGTTTACAGAAAAACGTGTTATTTTAATAAGTTGGCTTATCATTATGTATTGAATTCTTGAATGTGAGGATGTCATGTATCGTTGAGATCAGCAACATAATAGAACTGTCCAATTAGTCAGCCATATTATTATATAATCAAAACATGTATTCATAGGTCCTTCTGTGTTAATATTTACATTAAAGTTAGTGGGTATATTTATTATGGCGTCCAATAACTTGAAACAAGTAAAGTTATGTAGAAATTTTCAAGTAAAAGGATCAAGAGATCTGGACGTCTCCGAAATGCTGAAAATTATGATCAAATCCTTGAGCTACACACAAATTATGTTGTGAAATTAGCAGTGTTTTGATGTACAATGTGAAACATCAACATATATCAAAATCTCCTATGAAGTTATGATACACGAGGAGAATATAGTCACGAAGTTATATATTGACGCATCCCAACTCAGCATGTCAAGAGACTGCAAGACGCTGGTGGCGACATATTCCAAAAAGCCACGACTAACAGTAATTAGATTTCACCACGGTGATCCTTCCAGTTATTATCATTATCATCATCAACCCTAGTGCTTTAACCAGAATTAATTAAAACTGAGCAAGACAAGTAGGTACAAAAAGGTAACTGATTAAACTAAGAACTAAAACAGCCCTTGGTGCACCGAAACTACTCCAAGGTAGTCCAAATGATTGTTAACTACTTCTTGCCTCTCACTACTGCTATTAGGATTTGATTCTCTATTGGGTCTGACCAAGGAATATAATATTCCTTGGTCATAACTGTGATCATATACGTCATCAAGATTAGAGCGCATGCAACTACCTAGCTTATACTACAGATGGGCAAGGGGTGACCTAAATGAAGTGTATAAACAGAGGGCACTACCACCTAGGTGGCCTTGGCACTACTCAGTCAAGAGTCCACACCTGGAGCTGGCGGACGCCGGCCCCACAACGGGTCACAGCTCGAGGTTGAAAAACCCAAAAGTCCAGAAAACTGTGAAGGCAAACTTTTTCGGAGTGAGAATTGTGAACTCTAGGAACAACGTGTCAGAAAATGTTGTGACGGCACCGACACCAAGCATTAACCCTTTCAAGACCAGACTTGACCAACAATGGAGTAGGTGGATACATTCAGGAGTCAGTGCATGCCCAGGACAGTACTTGCCAACAATGAGTAACAGAGACGCGATCGACCGCCCGAGCAGTTAACAAGCCCATCAGTGGCCAAGAGGATAAAAGAAAAAAAAAATAAATATGGCCATGGGCCAATTATTTTGAGTATTGAGTTATTAGTAAATTTGAGATGTTAGTTGTTCTTAAACCATGTCAGTTGGTACCGAAAAACGTGTGATAAGTGTTAGGGTCACACTAGATAACAGCCTTCTCACCTGTGTCCCGGGCAAGGTTCTAACACTTGACACTCGTGAAGTTATGCGCGTTTTAAATTGCTGCGCCATTATCACAGTGTGGACATAATGAGTCAGACAGCCACAAAATTAGTTTTAATAATTACGAAGAAAGATGATTAAAGAGTTTTCAACAATACAATAAAAACACTGATGTGTCCAAGAATTATCAGCGAAAGAAAATGTTACTTGTGAACGGACAGAAAGTGTGTTCTCAACCCAGTCAGCTGACAGACGTAAACAACATAAGACAACCCCTTCACCTGCAGCAAGCAACAGGTGTGTGTGTGTGTGTGTATCTTATTCACGGTGTTGATATACTGTATGGAAACGGCGATAAAGCTTTTTTCATAAAACGATGTGATGTACATACTTACTTGACTAAGGCAGTGATTGGGAACTTCGTGCAAAAAAAGCAGAATTTTCGAGAAAGTGGAGTAATAGTAGCAAGATTTTGTTTTCTCGACACCCCAGTAAAACAATACTGTACTTTCTAACAAGGACATATAGTATGCTTACAGTTTGATGAGATTCTTGCACCAATGTATTGTTGCTATTAATCATAACAAAGAGAGCAAAGGTTAAGGAAGTAGGTATCACCTTGTCTTGTCGGAAGTTCTGATGGTCACCACCACGGTCAACTTAGAGAGTCCACCGTTTCCACATCTCTTCTCGATCTCCGAGCATCTGGTTTGGTCGATGATCGAGTTTGACTCGGTATGTCTTGATGATGAGTTGTGTGAAATAGGGGGCTCATTCTGGTATTCCCACAAGGAACTTGTCCAGCCTCTTCTTAAAGGTGTCAATGCTGCATCTTGTAGTATTGCGGATGTGTCTTGGTATGCAGTTGAATAGCTTGGGACCAATATTCAGGATACTTTCCGTTTACATTGTCTTCAAACGTTGGGTGACCAAGCTGAAAGCTCGAGAGCTCTCCTCATGTCCTGCCAAACCTGGGTTGACCTTGGCCTAGACTGCTATCTTCCAAGAGGTTAGGCACTTTCTTTTTAAGGATCTTCCAGGTATAGATGATGCAGTAGTATCTCTTCCTTTGCTAGGAGTACAGCTTTAGCCTCTTCAGTTTGCTCCAATAACCCATTGGCTCCCTCCATATCTTCCTTGCGAATGTCTTTCGTAATTGTTCGAGGTCTTGTATGTCCTTTATCATGTAGGGTGACCACAGCTAGCAGACATTCAAGTTTAGAGACAACCAGAGACTTCCACAGTGGTAGCAGGTGTTCAGGCTCTCTAGACAAGAAGGTACAGAGGATCCACCTTGAAATTTGTGTGGCTGTTCTCACGACTTTGTTGACGTGCTCACAGAAGATTAGATTATTGCTCATCCACACCCCCAGGTCCTTCACCGAGTGTTTTTCCTCGATGATATTGGCACCAATCAAGCTATTGTTATGGGACGTCAGTTTTTGGGGTAGTACTTGATGAGAGTGGTCTGGCAATAGCACCAGCTTAACAAAGCTATTCCACAAGGGGTAATAGTCTTCTTATCTTGAGAAAGAGACAAAAAATGTAGGGAGAAAGAGTTTTGGGTTATTTAATTTCCTGAGTATTTTACACTTTTATCTGCAGAGGAGGTTCCTCCATCCACTGTTTACTTTTCCATTGCTATATTCTCTTAATTTATAATTCAGAAAATGAAGAAAACTAATCTACCACACCTAACCTAACTAACATAAAAGATATTACTGTGTTTTACTTTTGAACAACACTGGAATCTTAGAAATTTTATGTTTGCTGTCAATAGTTTTGACAATTCCAAGGCACCTTTCTTTTATGATGTTCCCCTCACAAGCGACTTATATATGCTGCCCCAGTTAGGAGGTTAGGTAATTTTTAGATCTTTTGCAAAGGATATGTCTTAGAATTGCCTAATATATTGATTGCAAAGATAAAATTCCTAAGATTCCCATGTTATCAGAAAGTAAATCTTTTCCACCTAAAATACTACTGTTATTCCTATTTTATTCTTCTTAAATAAAATAAAATTCCTTTCTGCAAAAAGAGCAAAGTTGTGTATACCCTCTTTCTCTGTCAATTTGCACGATTAAAGTGAAATAATGCTAAACCCATTCCTCTTTCATTCTTGGTATGTTTCTCAAGGGAAGAGAGCTTTTATATTCCATGAAAAAATTTCATCAAGTTGCTGTTAAAGAGAGAGAGAGAGAAGGGGGTGGGTAATACTTTAGACATCAGACTCATGGGAGGGCATCTTTACAGGGAGGTTTTTACAGAAGAAAACTTATTTCATACCTCATGAATAGAAAGAAGTAGGTGGAGGTATTGCAAATTTCCTACTTTTTTCTTCTTCTATAGTCATCCTTACGATGAAATTCGGCACAGACATCATCACTGCCTTGTTTAGGGTAAACATTTGATGTGCTCACCAGGGAAGAGATCCTGATGTTATGTAATCTTCCCAGCAAATGTTTTCATCCAAACTGTCCATAAAATAACACCCTAACCAACCTACCTAATCTAACCTTAAATAATGTACTTCTGTCCTTGGATAGGTAGTTATGTTAGGATAGTTAGATTTGACTGGTTCGTTTGTGTTATTTATGATAAAGTATTATCAGTGGTAACTGGTTGCTGGAAAACATGTTCATTTATATTATGTTCTGTTTTGGTGACTGTGAAGTGATCAGTATCTCTGTAACTTTGAAAATGGCTAGCAAGTGTCCTATTGACTCTCCTGCCTCAGGGAAAGCCAAGGGGACATGTAATGATGATGAGGCTTGTTATTATTAATTAGTATAGGATAGTTTTTTCTGTGTTACATGTCTGCGTCGGACAGGCCAAGAACATATCCCATTGAAAACCCATGTTAAAAGGCTCCCGATTTATATTAATTCAATTTATGATAAGGGCTTCAGGAATTCAACCCTACCGTTAATAGGAGGATACCCCCAGTTCACCCAGCTGTAAATGGATACCTAAGTTTATAACTTAAGGAAGTGAATGAGGTTGAGTGCAGTACCGGCCATGCTGCCTTCTTGTGTAACGAAGGCTTAGGATACAGTGTGCTGTATCTACACTGTCTCTAACAGTACAGTACAGTTCTCAAAATATGAATGTGGTTTGCTCCTCTCTGTATTGTGAAATTTATATATAGTACCTGTAATTATTTTCAGGTACTTTGTGAAGTTGACATGCCTTTGCGCCGAAAGGAAGTGGCTGAGGGTCCGATAAGACTCCTTAGTTTTGTAACGCGACAGCATATGGCAACAAGACTTGACTCACGGAAAGTACTGTTGGCAGCCCAAGGAGTACATAGGTATGTTGAGACTTTCATTGTGTGTTCTTTAGTCCAGGCCTGTTACCTGTATGCTAAGTTCCATAGATATACCAATGTGGGTGGGGCGACAGGGGCTAATAAATTGTTCCAAATAAACCATTTTTAACAATAAGAAAAGAAAATATAATAATGATAATGAAATAAATAAAAATAATAGCATTACTAATTGAATGGTAAGATAATCATGAACATACAGAAAAATATTAATTATCTTGTATTTCAACAATACCTCAGTATGCTTAGCTCACTTGTACATTATCCACTAAAATGTCCCAGACATCTCCCTGGTATCCCTTGCTTGATGTTGTAGTGTACTGTTAATACTGTATATGTATATTGTTTATTGTTCATTTTGCATCACAGTTCTATCTTACTGATTTACTTTTTTCAGTGAGGATTAGTAAACATATCAGGTGAAGAGAATAATTAATTTTAGGATAATGTCTTAGGCGTCGAACATCATCCCATTTGCACCATAAATGCAATTAATTTACAAACCAACCATGATGTTATACGAGGTGAAAAAGGAGCAACTTTGTTTGCAAGAGAATTATTTGCAGGAGAGAAGCATGAGAAGATGCAGTTTGGGGATACAATATGTGAGACAAGTTATTTTTACTATACACAGGTGCACCCCAATAACTGACTTCTATAGGGACCGGGAAAAGTCGTTGGTTAGAGAATCGGCGGTTATCAAAGCAATTAATCCCATAAGAACATAACAAATTCAGGGGGTCAGGAACTGGCCACCCTCCGAAAGCTCCCATCAACTCTTGATATTTCTCTACTGCACACTGTCAATCAAAAAAATAAAAAATAAAATAAAAATAAAGCAGACATATAAAGCAAGTACAGTATAAGAAGCCTTAAATAAGCAATGTAAAGCATAAATTGAGGATGGTAGAGATGGTCTAGGCTAGCAAATTCAAGTCTACCACTTTTTGTTGGTCCATCACCACTCTTATTATGCCTTATTACACCTTATCACCTCACATCAAATTGCCCAGCACAAGAGGAACTATCACTGGGGTGTTTAGGGGATATTTTCCCTGTATGTAATCTTCTGTTACGCGAATCAGCGGTCAATAGGATGTCGGTTATTGGGGCTCACCTGTATAAGGGAGAAGAAACTGGTTGGAAGGATAGAAAAGGTTCAATTTATAATAATATTACAAATGTGTGTCACTGTGTAAGGTTGTACAAGACACTTAAAGTGCTTGGGGAATACAGTATACGTACAGTATATCGGGTCATCAAGTGTAAGGTAGAATGAGGATTTAAAAACTTGTTCTATAATAAGATGTGCTTTGTGTTCTCAGGGACTGGAGAGGTGTAGCAGAACAAGCAAATCTTGATGTGAGCAGCATTAGCTGTTGGGGTAAAATATCTCCGACTGAGCATTGTTTACACATATGGGGCCAAAAATGTGGTACGGTGCAGCAGTTATGGAACTTTCTCGAGGCAATGGATCGCTTCGATGTCATTGATGACACTTTAGAAATGATTTGTAAGTGATATTGGGGCTTTGAATTTATTGTGTTATTAGGAATGGCTAATGAATTCTCAAAGACCACAAATAAGGAAATCAACATGGCAGTTAGGTAATAGAAAAATTTCTTCAGGCTATTGATTTAGGTCAAATAAAGTACTGTAAGTTCAAATTATATGATAGTCATAGTTTTACAGCTATTTCTCTATTTACAAAAAGGATGTACATATCCCTCAACAAAAACATTCAGATACATAAATTTTGTAAATGAAGATGGCTCATCCCATTCACTCTAGGGTGATGGTGATGACAGATAATAGCTCATTTTGTTGAGGGCTTCATTTTTGTTAAAGGCTACTGCTGTATGATGTTAATATGGTAATCATAAACTGATGTAATAGCTAATAATAATGATGAAAAATAGTACAGTACCTGTAATAACATTTATTCAGTAAAATCATCTTGTAAGTTTACAATTAGTTTGTCATTTACAGTATTTAGAAAATGCAGATGTACAGTTCCTCAAGTGTACATACAATGCAAGTGTGTGGTGTATACTGTCAACAAAGACTTCAACACCTGGGCACGATGGAAGTGAGAATGAGCAGAATGGGGCTTGTCATCTCGGAATGGTTTCAAATTCTTCGTTCATTTTTCAGATTGCATACTGCTTATAGCGTTCGAGAAATTTTTGGTGAGAGTGTACATAGACCATGGAGGTATATACTTTAGTGTCCAATGTACCTAGACAGAGCATGTATATGACAGTAGTAAACAATAAGGCAGTTCAACCAAGGACAGCTGACAATAAGAAATAATTTGCAAAAATGATACAGTACAGTATCATAGCATTCTGGTTTTACAGTGCTGTTAGATATTAAATTTAATCATATTTTTACGTAACCAACATATACTGTACAGTGATCCCTCTGTTAACGAGCACCTCGGTTAACGATTTACCTTCCATAAGATTCTTAACTTCGGTTAACCAGTAATCCCTCAATTAACGAGTTTTTTACGAGCCGACCTCAACATGTTTTTGTTTGCATTTGGCGGTCCACCAGCTGTAGTATTAGTCCGCCAATACAGTAATCGGTTTTAGGGCTTAAATTCCTTACTATTTTTGTAAATATCAAGAAGTTTACTATTCAATAATTTTAAAAGTTTAATGTTAACTTTTTTAGTCATTTTAACAATTATTGAACATAAATGAAGGCAAAGAGACTAGTTTCTGGCGTGCCATCCAGCCTGTTAACACACCAAACAGGCGTTAGTCTCTCTCTCTTTTCAGTGGAGGTAACATCTTGCTCGAGACTCTCTTCAACGCTTTTTTCTGTGTTTGCAAGCAAATTATTGGTCATTTTGAAATTTATTTTACATATTGACAATATATAATGCAGTGCAGTGTTGATTTAAAGAAAATAATCTTGAATTACACCAAGAGAACTAAAATTTTATGGGTGAAATGGTGCCATGGGGTGACTTCTCTTCCACCCCAATGCCTTCTCTTCTCCCTTCTCCTCCACCCCCATTCTAATTCCCATCATCATTGTCCAGGAGCCTTCTACATACACACCTCAAAGTAAGTGTACTTTTCTACCTTTTTTGTTGAATTTAGGCAATTTTCGGTGAGGTGGAACCAATTACCCAAAAACCCATTGAAACAATGGTTTCAGTTAACGAGTTTTTCGGTTAACGAGCAACCTGCTGGAACGGATTGTGCTCGTTAACCGAGGGACCACTGTACTGTATTATCTAACCGATAGTTAATTTTTAACAAGTTGAATTCTCTAATTTTATTTATATTAGTTGCATCACTGTGTATTCATCAACACGCCTTGAGTTCCATTTATAAATTTCATAACTAATATTTATTTGCAGATGCTGACTATGATAAGTGCATGAGCCAAGGCGGTGGAGCCCTGGCAGCCCTCCCTCCACCCATGGATCAGTTAGTGTCTGATGTAGCCACTTATGATAGCAATGTTCTCACAGTTGGTAAGAGATGGTAACTTTTTGCTATTTTTACTTTTTTGAGATATGGAAAGAAGGGGGTACTAACACTGCCAGAAATGTTTGATTATGCATTAATATAAAAATTCATGTAAATTGTAGGAATTTGGTCTTGAGAATATTCGATGTTTAAGTAGCGGTGATGATGAGGATTGCATTAGAAATTAATATAAGGTTGTCCGCAAAGGAATTTTAAGGTCCTATTTTTTTGGTATAGTATAGACTGGACAAATAGTTAGGTTTTGCTGTACACTAGGTAATGAGCAGTTTCTTTACTATTGAGAAAAATATAAGGCATTCCAGGGTTGTCAAATTTTCATCATTTTCATCTTAGTTAAGTACAATCCTAATTTGAAATTGCCCAAATTGAGTGATTAAATTAAACAAGCAAATGAAAATGCTGAACAATCATTACATTCTCTCCAGAAATGAAAGTTTGTGAAACCTTTAATGTTCTCATTCCTTTTTTGTTCTCCTCTTGACAGCTTGTGGTGCTGAGCACATCATCATATTAATTACACTTGTGATTACAGCTCTTGTGACATATCCACTATGTACAGTATATTTCATTGAAAGTTTATAAAAATCATAAGTTTTAGTATGAAGTACGTATTCCCATAATATTTTTATGAAATTGACAAATTTATAAAAAATCACCAAAAAATCTCCAACAGATGATCACAGAAACTTGAGCATGGGATTGGGACTTCAACAATATACTGCACTAGTTTTGTTTGCTGATGAAGACATCGACTTTGTTCAGGAAATGGTTGAGAAATTGGAAGGGGATTATGGTCTCAAGGTAATGTTTGATTTTTATTCCTGTTTCTGATCATTAATGCCTGTACAGTACTTAAATGACTGAAGACACTAAATATATTCTGATAATTGAGTGCTTCCAAGTTGATGAGTTATTTGACAGTATAGTTCAGTACTGTACTGTATTGTATATCTTGGAATATGAAACGTAATAATTAAGAAGAGTCAAAGTATCAACATGCCATCCGACATGGAAACTTTGTGTAACAGTGTCGTTCAAGCAAGGATAAGTACTGGTAAATAATTTTTTATCTAGGCAACCTCGTCAAAAATCAAATCCAGTAAAAGTAAAACATCTCAAAATGTGTTTGCCTATAGTGCAGTAGCCTTAGTGTGGGTGAATCACTACCAAATTAAACCCTTGATTCTTGGCTGAGCCTCACACCCAGTGGCAGTAACTTGTGTGCGTGCTACTGCATGTACTTCACTTTTTACATTTATTATTGGCCTATAATTGGTGTACACAGTGATAACAATCATTGTGTACACCATATGTTTTTTTTACATATTTTAAAACATTTTTAGTCACTTTGGGGAAGGGATTTTTCCATAGGAACATATCTCGTCAATTATGAAGGGAATCTATGGGACACTATAATTTGATTTACAAAATATTTATTTAAGAATGGATTTTCAGGAACAGAACCCTTTCATATGTTGAGGTTTGCCTGTTCACAAATAGCCCAATCTGAGCTTGACAATACAGTATGTACAATAAAATTTCAGTTAATCCCACATTCATTATTATTAGTGTATTCTAATTAGTATTAATTTATTGTATTATTTCAGCTCTGCCTAAAAGATAGAGATTTAGTTGGAGGTCTTCAATTTGAGTCAGACAGCATTGTGAGACTTATAATTGAGCGGTGTACCAGAGTCATTGTCATCTTGTCACCCGAGTTTTTAGCGTCGAGTGCTAACAACTTCTTCATACTGTTTGCTCATGCTCTCAGTGTAGGTAAGTTTCAAGCATTCCAAAACTTACCATCAATAGCATTACACTGTGTGAATCAGGAGGCATAGTTATCAAACAAGATACCAGTTAAGACTTTTGACATTCTCATCCAAATATTATGTGATTATGAAAGTACTGTATTGTATTGTATTGTATTTCAGTATTATGTTGATTTGAAATATAGAATTGAAGTGTTTATCACTAAGTTACAGTCACTTTTATTTCATGCTTTAATGAAAGAACTGCAAACACCATGGTAAGTTCATCTGTTAGTATTGCTTGTGTTAGATATGGTTAGGTATGTATTTATTTGGGGAATATTACTTCCTTATAATTTGATTATCATTCTTTACCTGTAGACATATTTGAAAAATTACTCTTGGTTAAATAAAACCATATTCTAAGTAATATCCATCCTTTTTATTTAGTCTAGATTGCATGATTTCAATGTAATAATTATTTTTTACTCGGACTTCATACAGTACCATTAGTTCTTCAAAAGCAATATCCATGTGAAAAGTATTGGAAGTTTTTAATTCATGATGGCATTAGATGTGTATCAGCAAATATAAACAAATATATTTTGACTAATCATTTGCAGATCAACGCCGACGCATTGTCATTCCCTGTCTCCACAAACCATGTGTCAAGCCGGCCGTAATAAGTTTCTGTCACTCCCTCGACTATTATCGTGCTAAAGGATATTGGAACTACTGGGAAAAATTACGTGACTCATTAACTTTTCAGCCACATGTTGGATCCAGGTATGTACAGTGTCATGGTATAACACATAAAGCGATACAGATCTTAAGCAAAATTTTGTGGTTTTAGAAAATATAAGCTGTAGTGTATCATGCTTTAAATCCATCTCTTAATTCATCAACTTGAATTGTGTATTGTATAGGAACATTTGAGGATGAAATAACTCCATGCAAGTGTGGAAAATGGTTGTAAAACAGTGATGGTCATAATGGTTTTAATGCCAAATTTATCTTCTATATACAGTACAGATGAATTACTGTATAATCTTTTATCAGATATACATACATACAGTAGTAATTAGACTTCTATAAGTACCGTACTGGTATATCAGTACTGTACTGTACTACAAATAGTTACATATAATGGTCGTTTTATGGAATACAGTATCGTGTTCTTCCAAAAAAGCAAAAACTTAACTACTTAACTTTCAAATTTATGAAATTCAAGTACTGTATATTAGTTAGTACTGGCAATTTTCAGAATATGGGTTAATAACACTCCCCAGGTTTTCATACACATGTTCATGTAACAAGAGAGCCACCTGATACGGCAGTATGCAACTGTTAATGTATCTTAAACAAAGTTACTCCGTCAATGTTAATGATACGATGCTGTGGATATTAATTTCTGTACAGTAAGTCCTCGATATATACGAGTTCAGCGTGTGCGAATTCACTCCTATGCGAGGACCCTATTCCTACCTAGAATGTAATTTATGCGAGCAAAATTCACCCTTTTGCTACTCCACGATTCAAAATGTTAAGAATGCAGCCAAAATATCACACTCCAACCCTGATGACCTGCAGCTGTCACTTCAACACTACCCACTATGTAAAATCTCTATCACCACCTTCATCATTTTGTCTATGCAAGGTGATATACAGTACTGTACTGTATCTACATTTGTTGGTGAGTACACTGTACTATACCCTTGCTTTATCTATTATTTTAAAAATAATATTGTATTGTTTTATGGTTTATTTGTCTTGAAATTGTGTTGAAAATGGGTTCGGTTTATGTGAGGGTTTTCAGGAACGTATCCCTCACATATATTGAGGACTTACTGTATCTTAATATCTATTAATTACTTTTGATCAGAAGTTTTGAGGCTGTAACCATAGCCAGAGTGAATCTTCAAAGGAGTAGAAACACAGCTGTGTCCTTCTTTCCATTTATCTGTTAAATTATGAAATTTTAGAAATAAGAGATCTTGAAAGCCCTACTATGAGTGCATACTGTATATCCAGCTTAGTGGCACTTGTTCTCTTGTCAAGGCAAAAGCATTAGAAATTTTTTTGATTTAGAGAAAAAGTTTGATGCTTTAATGCTGTATTTATAGCCATAGCAAGTGCTAGAAGGAGACTAAAACAAATACTATCAATAAAGAAAACAAAGGTTACATATTGTCATTAGGTCAGATAATTTGTGAGTTTTTGCCACTGTAACATGACAAGAAAGCTACTGTGTGCTTGAGATTTTTGTTATGGTGAATACAGTAATATTATCTTTTGAGGATTTATTTTGTATTGGTTTTGCTCAAATTTGGGGAACTTAGAATCCTCGCAATTTCACGTTGAGTCAGGTAAGTTAATTAAATGGAGGGGACATTTCATTCAAAAGCACTAATGTTTTTTCTGATTTTTTATTAGCTCGTATGTTTCAGGATCCTATGAACATTACACATATTAGGGATCATATGAACTTTACACACCCTAGGGATCATATGAACTTTACACACCCTAGGGATCATATGAACTTTACACACCCTAGGGATCATATGAACTTTACACACCCTAGGGATCATATGAACTTTACACACCCTGGGGATCATATGAACTTTACACACCCTAAATAAGAATTTTTAATGTGCAGTCATACCTCCATATAACAGACTTCTTTCTCCATATAATACGTTATAAGGAGGTTTCACATCTAACAGACCCTCGATATAACGGACTTCCTCTACATATAGTCCGTTAAATAGAGGTTTCACTGTATTATTATTATTATTATTATTATTATTGCTTGCTGGAATTTAGTGCCAAGCACGTATCATGCGTCCAGGAAACTCAAGGTGTCAATTCATAGACTTTTTGAGACGTTGTGTACTGTACTGTACTTATCCCTCAGCCCAAGCTTCCTCATTTATTATTAATACAACCCCACTATTTCTCACGTTCAGCATTACAAGTGGTGAGTCACGAGTGAGGATACGTGAAGTTTCTGGCTCTTCTACGTCATCCCAGGTCTCGGCTAATTCCTTAAGTGTTACCACTCCCTCGCCTTCACAATCTCCAAATTTTTTTTCCAAGTTTTTGCGGAGATCAGATGCTAAAGTGAAGAGCAAGTCTGGTTCGTCATCCTTGGAAGATTCTAGTCAGGTAATTGTAGGTTTCGGGATTTTGCTCGAGTTCATTTAGGGTAATATCTCCTTTAGCCGGAATCCCTCAAACACGGAACTCTCCGATTGCCAGAATTTAAATTTTCTCGTAAAATCGTTCCGAAAGTTGTAATTTTCCAGAAAATTACGGTTTTGGGAATGATTTTCCAAGGGGCACATTTTCCAGAAAATTCTGAGAAAGTTTTCCCAATGCCCGGAAAATTCAGGGGATGGAGGAGTTTTTTAACGCGTTTGAGAGATGAATATCGGGTGCATTTTCTGGAAATAACAAGAAAATTTTCCATTACCCGGAAAATTCCGGAGATGAGGGATTTTTTCCGGCTTTGAGAGTCGTCTCGTTACCCGGAAATTTTAATTCCCGAAAGTGCTCTGCACCAATTGTTCTGGCTAATGGAGATATCACTGTATCTCTATGTATCTTGTATTTTGTCCTCGAATTTAGATATTATTGTTTCGCATTTCCAGGTCGTCCTTGTTTATCACAAATTTGCATATTATGGTTTCGGTTTATCACAGTACAGTATAATCTTTATGACCAAAATATTATATTATTGCAGCGGGTTTCATTTTTTCACTCTTCTGATGTAAAAAAAATAATTTCAAACCTCAAGCAAGAAACACCCAGTTGATACATGGCCCTGAGAGGGAGAGCATGCAATAAATCATCATTACTACAACTCCCATAGTTCTTTCATGCATTCTTACATTTATTAAATACTCGTTGTTTTGATGTCTTAAAAGTGGTAAAAGTGACCATAGCCGGCTAGTTGTTGCGGGGTGGATGAATGGTCGTGAGAGGATGAACAGAATGTGTACTGTTACCGGTACACACTTCTTGGTTGTATTTCAAGTAAGGGAAATCATCCCAAGTTCCCCCCAAATCCCTGGCCAGGACCAAATCCCTTTAGTAAATATTTTAAAATGGGAAAATTAGTTTTGTGTATAGCAAGGATTTTCAAGAATGAAACCTTTGCAATAAGTGAAGATTACCTTTAGTTTTAACATCACTGAAAATATAGAAATATTTGGCCCCAATGAATGGAAATCGAAAATAATTGTCATGCAAATATGGGTGTTAGTTTTATGGATTGTTGATCTTTTTCTTTTTTTTTCTTATAATTTTATGTTACACTACAGATTGGCAAGTCTTCTCTCTCTGAAAGTGAAACTAATCCTCTGGAAGCAAGTGATCAGAAAACTTCTGCAGGTTCAAATGGCTATCCCTGCAGTCCTTCCATCCCTATACGAGAAATGTCTGCAAGGCCTGTTTTACACCTCGGCCCCTCATCAGCCTCGGGGGAATCCAGTGACTACACGGCCATTTTTCAGAGCTTACCTGATGTTCCTGAGACTTCTCCGTACAACAGTCCCATGAACACTACCAGTTCTACTGCCCACTTAATTCCTGAGGAGTCTTCAGCCAACTCAAGGTCTCCTTCTAAATTTTTCGATAAAATTTTTAAAGGAAAGCCGAAAAAACACAGAGTTTCTAGTTAATATTTAGCTTTCAGTTTCACAAGAATCTTTTATCAAATAAGGTATCAAGAGTAAAATAAGGGGCTAAGAATAAAATATATTGAATAATAATATAAATCTCAGATTTAATTTCAGTGAGTTCCAGAGATTATATATCTGTACTTGTGATGTATCATGATAATTTATTTTAATAAAATAAATTATCCATGATTATCTATGTATGACCACTTTTTTCTTAGTGTCCTCAGTGTGATTCTGTGAAATTACACATTATAGTACAGTACTGTACTCTGTGCAGTTATATATTTTCAAAAGTTATGTTTCCAGCAAAATACCTGTTTTGAAGATGTTACAGTAAATCACATTTTCCTTTAATTAAAAATAGAAAAATAAGAAATTAAAATTAATTTTCAAAATGGTATGTTTACAATATGTTATTGCTCAAGATTTTAACTTTTGCAAATTTATCTACAACTTGTGATGTGATCATATTACCAAATACTGTACACATCTCATTTCCTTTAACAGCACGTTCTTCTGAATAATTTGAATTTCTAACAATTCATTCCATTATGTATGTCATCAATTTTGCTTGATATTATATGTCCAACACTCCTACCACATCTTCGTCATTCCTTTCATATCTGATCTTTTATTTCCCAACACTTACACAAATACCGTTTGTCTTTGAGCATTCCACAACCACTATTTCTATGCACTGTAGTCTCATGACATCAGCACTTGATCCATACTTCATTGACTACTCTTCTAGTGAATTTGAAAGTATTGTTGGTGCATTCCTCATTCTTTGCCTTTGCCAGAGACTTATTATCTCCTTAATTGCCAGATAATGCTTTCTAAACTGTTTAATGTTGGTACATAACTACAGATTCATTATTCTGTTCACATCATGATATATTTCAAAATAATCTCACAGAATATGTCAAATATTCCCAAAAGAGGAGCACTATCTTGTATTGATGCACTTCAACAACAGTTAGTCTTGACATACAGTACAGGTAGTTCTGCTATAACGCGATAATTGTGTTCTTGTAAAATATCGTGTTATAGAAAATCGCGTAATAGAAATAACAGGGCTTATGGAGAAAATAGGGTTAGGTGCAGATTACTCGAAATCGAAAAAATTTAGTAGTTAGCCTAACACAAAGGATAGCACAGTCTAAATAAATGTACATTCATATCTAATAATGAAATCATACAGTAAATGTAACACTTTACTTGATGGGGGAGAAGGGTGATTTTGAGGTTGATAAAATCGAGCTTCTCTTCAAGTGTTATATCCTTTCTTTTACGATCATCACCGGGAATTCTATCACCAGAACGCTTCTTGTTGATATTCTTCTTTACTATATTCACAGTTAATACAGTGGGGTATGCTATAACGAACGGATTCTACTACGAATATTCCTATAACGAACGGTTTTACCTATAAAATTGAGAATGCTATAACGAACGAAACTCCTACAACGAACATTATTTAATTTTTTTTTTCTAATTTATTGTTTTTTATTACAAATATTAATGATATTCTTTATTTCAGGGGTTTAGATGCATCTTTATGCACTTTTTTACAATTTTTACAATTTTATATTATATTTTTCAGTGTTAAGTGGTTGTATTTGGGGGCCTGGAACGGATTAATCCTATAACGAACGAATGCTATAACGAACAAGGTTCTAGAACCAATTAGAATCGTTATAGCATACCCCACTGTACCACAAAATTGGAGAAATAGTAAGCAAAAATCGCGTTATAGCAAACAAGCGTTCGCGTTATACAAATATCGTTCCCAATTCATAAATCGCGTTAGAGCAAATTCGCGTTATCAAAACACGCGTTATAGCAGAAATCACTGTACTGTACAGTATTACATAAGAACATAAGAATGGAGGAAACTGCAGTGGGCCTATTGGCCCATACTGGGCATTTCCCATTTACACCCAGCCCCTATTGCTCATATATCCATCCATATACCGTACTACTGTATCGTTCTTGCTAAATAATATACTGTAATATTGCTAGCTTTAATGTAATTATAGATATTCTGTATTCTTAACAAACACAACTATAGATCATCTTCCTTCTTGTAAAAGAGAGATTCTCTGCATATTAAGGCTATTTAGAGGATTGAGAGGTAAAATAAATCAAGATTCATGCTGATTTATAGTAATTAACATTATAATACAACCATATTTCAGGATGCTAGAATATGAAGTATGCCACACTGTACCAAGTAGAGAGTACTGGAATGCCTCAATCCCTGTTAGAGACTTTGATTTGTGAAAGTGATGTGATGAAAATATATTTATTTATATCTTTTCATCGGTATGTACAAATTTGTAGTCACAATTGTGAGGTAAGAAAATACCTTAAAAAATTGGCTAATATAGCTGATGATTTGACATTGTATGTATAATATTGAAACATCATTTTGACACATTTTGTTACATTATATTTTATATTGTTGTAAATAAACAAAGTTCTATTTCTATTAAGTTTTTATCTTAGACATTGTATAAATGAATGTTCCAGCACCTGATTCTTTGAATTGTTGTAGTCACACTCATGTCACATTTTTTCCTCGGTAACATTTGTTACAAATAATTTTAACCAGGTTATCACCTGTAAATTTTTTATACCCTGTACAGTACCTGTGTTCAGTACTGTTTATTTTATTGTGTTTTTTGCTAATAACTCTTGCCATCAACCATGAAATATTGTAGTGAATGGCAATGTAAATTGGAAATTCTGGTCAAAATTGATTCTACATGGTACAATACAGTATATCTGTAGTCTCGATTTACGCGGATTTCCTTTATGCAGTTGGTCATATACGCGGCACCTTGCCAGACCGGCAATTATTAGTTACGCAGGAAGCAGCGCAGGCAGGGTGCACACTAGGTCACCCAGTCAACAAAACATTACCGAGTACTTCACCTGCCACCCACCACAGCCAGCCCAAGTCAGTGATAGTGAGGATATGGACTTTGAGGGGTTTGACAAAGAGGCCCTGCAAGCCTCTGTGGTGGATAGTGATACAGGTGATACAAGTGATGGCCAATAATCTGCCCTCTGCCTCGGAATCAACCCCCCATCCCCGTGTGCCCAGCCATCTCTTCTACTAACGTAAGTGTTAAAAAACCTAATAATATTGATATTTCTCTTAAATATTAATTACCGGTATGTGTGCATACCATCATAAAATTAAGATGTTATTTTTACTACAACGTACATATTGTCGGAAAAAGGGTAGTCTGGGGGTTAGCCCAATCTCTATTTCAATTAATCCTATATGTTCTGTTATTTCGTTTACGCGTTTCTCGTTTTACGCGGACCTCCATGGGTTTAATTGATCGCGTAAACCGAGACTATACTGTATATTGAATTTGTGAACTTAGAGACCATAGAAATTAACAACTTTCAGAGTTAAGCAGTAAGGTCTTGTCTAATGAACGTTTATCTATCATAGATTTGATTGTACACAATTCAACAAGTGTGAGAAATTATCTGCCGAATGCTGATAAACTTGGCTGTTTTGTTGCCCTGGCTTCACACTTGCTGCTGCTCATTTCTCTAGCAGCAGTCCCAATCACTCGCTTGCCTTGGCTAGTGCCTCAGTTACAAATGCTTAGGAGAGTGATAAATCACTTAATTTTCAGTACAGTGGTCCCTCGGTTAACGAACACAATTCTTTCCAGAAGGTCGTTCGTAAACTGAAACCATTGTTTCAATGGGATTTTGGGTAATTGGTTCCAGCTCACCGAAAATTACATACAAAGTAAAAAACAAATGCAGTTAAGTACACTTTGAGGTGTGTATGTAGAAGGCTCCTGGTTGATGATGATGGGAATTAGAAGTGGGGGTGGAGGAGAAGGGAGAAGAGAAGGCAGTGGGGTGGAAGAGAAATCACCCCATGCTTCATGCCATCATTTCACCTATAAAATTTTAAGCTCACTAGGTGTAATTCAAGATTATTTTCTTTAAATCAACACTGCACTGCAATATGTAAAATAAATTTCAGAATGATCAATAATTGTACTGTAAAAATAGTTTATGTTCAAGAGAACCACAAGCAAGAAGTTACCTCCACTGATCAGAGATACAAACTGACGCCTTGGTGGGTGAGTCAAGTGGCTGATTGGTGCACCAAAAACTAGTTTTCTGTACTGCAATTATGTTAAATAAGTTAAAATAACTAAAAAATTTAATACAAAACTTGGGAAATTATTGAATAGTACAACCTTCTTGATATTTACTCAAATGGGAACAAATTTAAGCCCTAGAACCGATTACTTTATTGGCGGACTAATATTCCAGCTGGTGAGCAAGCGAAAACATGTTGACATGATTTCGTAAGATTTTCGTTAACCGAATTTTTGTTCTTATGGAAGGTAATTCGTTAACCAAAATTTCGTTAACCGAGGGATCACTGTAATTTAATGATTTTGCTGTGTATCCTTAAGTACACAATGACACATGACCCTAAAGAGACTGCTAGTGATTTTGGATAAGCTATGTGTGGGACAGACATTTGTATCTCTGGGTTGCCACTAAAGAATAAATGAGTCGACTATACACACTATTGAATTGGAAAGATGGAAAATATATTGTGTGAATCGGTTATCATATCAACATATAACTATGTTGTTGATGCTGTAGACAAACCTTCTTTACAGTTTTTAGTTTCAGTTCAGTATTTACATATTAATGATTGTCTAGTTCACTTTTGTGTACTTGTACAGGTAAACCTCGATAAACGATGTCATGTTCAGCAATATTCCGCTTTAAAGTCAAGTCGGTGACATTTTATAAGGAAGCAATACTTAACCCTATGCACCATGCATCTCTCACTTCACTTGTCACCTACCCTAGAGCCAACACATGGCCAACCCGCACACTACAACCATGCGCTTGGTTCTTTGTCGATTGTAACCCAACATCACATTGCTCCATGATTATCGGTCTACATTGTACTTATCATCTGTTTTTTTTCGTATACCGAGAGGACAGCACTAACATTTAGACAGGACTGTGTTATGGTGATTGTGAAGTGATATTTTCTGTGTTTTTGTGACTATAAGGTGCTTTGTTGTGAAAATGTTGTGAGCAGTGTCGGCCACTATCATTGTTTTTGTTACCATTGTTCACTCTGTTTTTGTAACAAGTGCTTTTGCTCTGTTTTTGTAACTGTGAAGTGAGCAGTTTAACTTAAAAAATGTATGGGGGTCAAGGCATCCAAGATAACAGTGTCTCTGAGGTGAAGCTTGACATTGTGAAGTGGTATGAGACTCCCTAGAGGCTGTGTAGGAGTTGGAATGACGTCTCCACTCCACCTACAAGAGTCCTCTTATCCTCGAAGGGGACATGTGATGATGACCAGGCTTATTCTTCAGGCTGTGGTGAGTGTTGTTTAATTGTTTTGTGCTGATAGTATTGTAGTATCGTAGGAAGTTTTTTGTCGGTGATACATGTGTATGTGAGGACTGGCTGGAACTTATCCCATTGAACTCCACGTTATAATACTCCCTATCTACGATATTTCACCTAGCGATGGGTTGTTCAGGAACCAAACCCTATTGTTTATCGAGGTTTACCTGTATACAGATGCAGTACAATACTTAATCACTCCTGAGGTTTGGTTGGGACCTTTCTTTCCAACTTCCTCAACCTTATTTTTCCCATAAGGAAGTAAGTTTGTCCAACATCGAATCTTTCAAGAACTTAATTCCCACACTGGATGACGTTCTATCAATACTCTGTAAAATATTCTCATGGGTAAATTATCATATGAATTGGTATAACGGTATTCATGTTTTAAGTAGACATTGTATATTGCATAAAATGTTTCATAATATTGTTAAAAAGTGAAAATACAGCCATGGTATATAAAGTACTTTATAACAACAGGAGTAAAGCTTCTGACAGGTGCACATACTGGCTTATCTTAACACTGATATTACCATGTACACTGTAGAGAATGGGGTATAAAATAAATATCTTTTCTCAGATATTTTTTACTGATAAGCACTATCTAAAAAAACAAAGAATATACAACAAAGCAAGAACAAGGTACTGTACTGTATATTTATCATATAATATTGGCCTGGGGGCAGGAAGTGAATGGGTGATTACCTCCACCAACAACCCCCACAAACTTAAAAAGTATAAGAGACCAGATTACCAGTGTCTACCACAGTGATCACGGCATCACTTATATAATATATTCAGTGTTTCAATATTCTTACATAACATTTTTTTTTATAAGGAAACCCAACTTGAGTATGCCATTATCAAAAATAAAATATTTTTTCTTTGAAATATATAAAATAAAGCAGGAATTGAAGGAACACCAAAATCACTATAACATTCTTACTTATTTCTCTCTCCTCCAATTTCTTTTGGGAGATAAAGAGAACCAGAAAGTAGAGGAGAGGAAGATTCACCCCCTTTTTATTTCTCCCTCCTTGAGAAAGGCACAAGAAGGGAGCCTCTCAATCACTTCTTTCTCACCTTCATTGTCCTCAGGTAAGAAATAGTGTAAGAGAGGAAGAGTTATAGAGAGAGGGGAAGTCTCTCTCTCCTATAAGAAAAGGGTAGTAACCTGTTGTGTTGGTTACATAGCTAAACATAGAAAGTCTGGTTATCTGAGTGGAAAACATTCAGGTTGGTGGTGCTACTTCATGCTCAAAGAGGGTTATCTGTCAGAGCGCCTATATGTTTACCCTGATTTTTCCCTGTGTATTTTTAAATCATATATTTTCTGTGTCTCTTTAAAATATCAAGTGAAACTATAACTTCTTTTGGTAATTTAATTTTAGGTTAATATATTAGGACCCAGAAGGTATCTCTTCTTTCCTATAGGCACTAATGATATACAATTTGGGATATTTACAATCTGTTAGGGATGTGTGTATTAGTGTGTACAATAAACTTTCATTATTACTTATACATGATCCATAATAATGCTGATCAAGCTGATACAGAAAAAATAAATGACTCCATTCCATCATTCACATGTACTGTAATGCCCCACTATTGTAAGGATTTCCAAACAGTATTGGAAGTACGGTACTGTAGTGTATGTACTGTATTATTCATTGCATAAGACCTGCATCTAATAAATGAGATAAGTTAGGAAATACAGTACAGTTCATATATTAGAGATACTTATCAATACTTGACTATGGCAGTATATAGCCCAACCCCACTCTCGTGAGTGGCAGATTTTTCGGAAATTCAAAATTCACCTGTCACAGCAAATGGTCTTTATCCTTGATTACAAATATATTGACCTTCCCCTAATGCAGCGGCTTGTACCTCCACTTTGACATGTTAAATAGTTCATATGATCAGGCAGTCGGGGCTGCCTATCTTACTGTATGAGCACAGCATTATACTGTGCAGGCATACAATACCTCAATTTATGATTGGGTTGCATTCCTAAAAATCATATTGTAAACCAAATAGTAATTGCATCTTTTATCCATTGATTATCATAATAAACTGGTAGATACATCCCTATTAAAAAGGTAATAATTTCCAACACATGATAAATGACACCTTGCAACACAGGTTAAATATTTGGGTGTAAAAAATAAAATGTAGTTCAAAGCAGCAGCAATTTAATGAAAAACAAAATTTAAATTTGCTTAATAGTTACCGCAGTTAATTCAAGCAGTCCTAACACTCAACCAATGGCGGTCATCTTTTTGTCAGCCTCAGTGCACCTAATCATTTAAAGTGCGGACTCTGCAAGGTCTCTTACCACTAGAGGTACTGCTACTGCTTGTTTCACTTGCTGGTCACTTTCATGACATCTCTAAATATGGTAAATCATTTGAAAAATGCAAGATACTGCCAGAGAGTTCTGTAGGTGGATTTGAAAAATTTCTATTAGCTTGAAGAAAATTTCATTACAGCTCACTGTAGCTGGTCAAACTTCTTGGAATATATTATGTTCATTGCCTTTAGATATTCAATAATGGCTGATTATATATTTCCACCCATACCAAATTAAAATACAGGGGTATGGTAATGTCATTTTAAAAATATTGAAGGAATGATATCTCATAAACATAAAAAAGCTTCATTCATTTACTATTGTAACCTCAAAATAATCAAATAAGAGATATGTAAGTACAGTACTGTATACCTGTATTGCATTTTTTTATTTTCCAGTTTTTCTTATTTCTACTACAGTACACCAATACAATAAAGTAGTGTATGTGTTATCACATATCAAAACATATACATGTATAAATACAGTATCTATTTTAGATGAACTGGTACTAATGATGTGTACCCATCATTAGGTTGAAGTACCTAGAGCATTACCTTCTGCTCTGATATCTTAAGTGCTACTAAACGAGAGAGGAAAAATATCAGATGTACTATATGGCAACATATGGTGGCTGCCATTACACCAAAAAATAATGATAATACTGTATTTACATTTTCACACCTTGTGTGGCATTCTGAAAGTGGGGACTCCTTTAAGTAACACCTATAGTGTATAAAATGAAAAAGAGACCAAGTACTTATCAGTCTTTCTCAAAGGGTTAATGTGTAGTCCAGTCCTGTGCTTGTTCACTTAACTGGGTCTATTTTCAGACATTTTTATACACACTTTAGTGTACTTTATCTTCTTCGCCACCGGTCGTCTCTCTATCAATACACTGCTGTATACTATAAGACAGAAAATACAGTACTACATTAAAGATACAAATTACTATAACTTAAATACTGTACAAAGATTTGAAAATACTGTACAAACTAGTGTAAAAGAAAGTATGAACTTTGATCTTCGTACAGTACTGTACAGTATTGAAGAGAATCTGGGTAGTCACTAAAACTTATTTTTCTTTCAGGGGCAAGGAAGTTAGAAAACTTCAATGTGGATGGAACCTAACCCCCCATTTTTCCATTGAATGCACTGATTGTTGTTAAGCTGATCCCTTAATGCAGCATTTTCCAGTAATTCATTACCAGGTAATGATGAGATTAATACCTGTATACAGTCTCTGTGTGTGTGTACATGTGTGTGTGAGTGAGTGACAAACAGAATAATTGAAGTGAGAAGAAAACATCTAGAGATAATTCTTCACATCTTAACCTACTTTGTCACATATCCACTGTGTACCTCATACTACTTCAAAGACTATCCTAAGACCCGACTGAATAAGTTCGAATAAGCCGAGTCAATTAGCTTTTGTTATACTGTACAGATCATATATTGAACAAAAGAAACAGGTAAACCAGAAATTTACTAGAAGTTTTTATATACATTCTCTACTATGTAACTAATTCCTTATGTCATAGAACAGGTTTTGCAGAACTCTGAGTGTGGTATATCATTGATGCAGTAAAATTGATGGTCCCAGCCAGAAAGAAGACTGGAAACCACCGTCCATGTGATGCTACAACCAGTTCTGCTGTCAATGGTCCACACAAGATCCCTGGTATTGTTGCCTGAAAAAAAAAAATCACCATCTTCAGCAAATAGATTTCCTGTAGGTGAGTAATATATACAGTATTGGAAGTTTTCATTATATGATACAGTAATGCATTCTGTAAAGAAATACACTGTTCCCAAATTTCATGGAAGAAACACTTACAATTGTATTAGATATAGCAAATGTAATTCCAGCATGGTTAGGGGCAACATCTGCATGATTACTTAAGTGTCCTGATGAATTGGCTGCACATAAACCCATAGCCATGGATATTACCCTGAAAGTGAAGTGAGCACAGGGGTATAATTAATGCTTAAATTCTTGAACAGCAAAGAATTTCTTATTCATTACAAAAAGATTAACAGCTATATACAGTATTCCATTTCCCAAAAATTACAATAGGTCAACTTTGACCGACATATACAGTTGTACCCAACTTAACGCGGTCAATTGAACCCAGAGGGTCCCGTGTTAAGTGAAATCCGCGTTAAGTGAACAACAGAACATATGGGATTAATTCCAATAGAAACCGGCCTGACCCCCAAACTCCACTTTTTGAAGGCACATACCTATGTTGTAGTAAAAATAACATCTTAATTTTATGATGGTACATGCACACAATTAATACTTAAGAGAAATACAGTCGCCAAGTTAATGTCCATTCAAATAATGGACTCAACTCCCTCCCTCTCTCACACTACACTCGCTGGCTCTTCCCTCTCAGAGAAATTTTTTGGGGAAAACCACTAAATTTTAATAAATAATACCTCAAACTAAAGTTAGGATAATACAATTGACATTGCTGGATTCCTTGTAAGACCAGGAATATTTTGAATATAAATGTCATATATTTTGCACAAAAGATAACATAGTTACCTAGAGAAAAATTTTTATCTAAAATTTGTATGTTTAATGAAAAATATATGATGTTTATATTCAAAATGATCACCAAATTATAAGAATTCCAGCAATGTAAATTATATTCTGACCGGGTAATTTGTATGAATTTTATGAGCTAAAACAAATATCTTCAGTTAATAAAAAAAAAAATAATCTTCACAACACTATCTGTCAATCAAAGTACCCCACCTTGCCTCCCCCCCTCTTCCAACCGCGCGGTCAGTCCCAACCCTCCCCCCCACCCCCCACCAATCCTCCCTTCCAGGGTTTTTAACATTTAGTATTAAATAATACCTCAGATTAAAGTTAGGATAATATAATTGACATTGCTGGATTCCTTGTAAGACCAGGAATATTTTGAATATAAATGTCATATATTTTGCACAAAAGATAACATAGTTAATTTGAGAAAAATTTTTATCTAAAATTTGTATGTCTAATGCAAAAATATGATGTTTATATTCAAAATGATCATCAAATTATAAGAATTCCAGCAATGTAAATTATATTCAGACCGGATAATTTGTATGAATTTTATGAGCTAAAACAAATATCTTCAGTTAATAAAAAAAAAAATAATTCTTCACAGGGTAACAGATGGTCGGTCGGTCCCTCCCTCCCCCCCACCCCCCACCAACCGTCCCAAGGAGATGTGTGGGATAACCACTAAATTTTAATAAATAATACCTCAAACTAAAGTTAGGATAATATAATTGACATTGCTGGATTCCTTGTAAGACCAGGAATATTTTGAATATAAATGTCATATATTTTGCACAAAAGATAACATAGTTAATTTGAGAAAATTTTTTATCTAAAATTTGTATGTCTAATGCAAAAATATGATGTTTATATTCAAAATGATCACCAAATTATAAGAATTCCAGCAATGTAAATTATATTCTGGCCGGGTAATTTGTATGAATTTTATGAGCTAAAACAGGCAGTCAGGCAGGGTGGGGCAAATCTAAAAATAGCGTCTCGAGCCGGACACTCACCGCGTATATGTGGAAAAAATCGAAGTGAAACCGCATTAGGCGGGTAATACTGTAATGTGGAAAGGCACAAGTTGTTTAACCCTTAAATGACAGGCCGACAGCAATTGTAAATATTTAATCGCTTTTTGTATTGTGACTCGTGTCAACTTTTCTTTCCCCATCAGTTGTGTTTCTTGTCCTCATGGAGAAAGTATCTAGCAATTCCAGTGACATGCCATGCAGAAAGACTCCCTCATGCAGTAGTGTTGACTTGAGCCCTTCACTCACATTTTATGGTCTCACATAAAATAACTCTGGATAAATTTATACATTATGGTAAAATTAAATTATTAACTTACAAGACTGCAACAACCAGATTGGAGACTTCTGGGAACAGGGCGAGACAAATTCCAGGACCCATAAGACCAAAGAAAGTCATTAAGCGGCGCACCCTTAACACCGGCCACCCAACTGATATCAGCTGATCGGCAATATGACCCCATGCTGTTGAGAATAAATATTTAAAGGTGTATTATTTTAGGTTTGCACTACAAAATTACAATTTCATCTACTTTATCACTTTTTTATTGAGTACAATAAGTATGTAAAAAACCCAATTGATAAGTACTATATTCTATAATATTCTTTTTATAGTTTACTTACCAACACCACACAGAGAGTTGATAATATAAGGCACTGCAGTGAGACTCATGCTTTCCTTATTTGCTCCAAGTGTTCGTGATAAATAAGTTGGCAGCCACTGCATAATGATGTAGTTGCTCCAGTTCATGGCAAAGTGTGCAATGTATATAGACCACAATGACCAGTGGCTTATCCATTCTACCCAGCTTACACACGTTGCCTCCTAACATAAAAGGAAAAAATAATAAACCTCAGTGATACAACAGCAACAAAGTAAAGAGCTACGTATGCTGGATAATGTTCCTGGCAATACCACTGACAAGTACAGTAAAGCCAAATCTGTACAGTACAATACACAATTTTTCAGGAACACATTTCCTTACAATAAGAAGTCTACAGTATATACTGTACTACACTTGTTTTGAAAACCAAATTTTTCCTCTTAAAGTAAATAAATTAACCACAAAAATAATGTTATACTTAAAAACTAATCTACTCCAGCAGCATAATTCACTTCTTATCTATTATGTCATATCCATAAATTCGTTCAATATACCACATCAAACATTTCTTCCGTAATGGTATAAAAGAATCACTTTACTACTGTACCATAGTTATAGCCAATAGTTTTCTCAATTATAGATACACCTGCATTCCTTAATCACTCCCTTATGATAACTGATCAATGGTTTTCAGAACTAAGCCATAAAAGATGCACTATACTCCAGAAAGTTTATAGCATGATCCGAGGTCAAACATAGTAGATGTGAATTACGTAGAGTTGGAATGCTCTCACACACATGTAAACTTGGAAGATTAAAGGGTAAGTGAAGAAAAAGCTGAATGAGAAGGTGTATATTAACAAAGTCAGTTTCTAACAAGGAGAATCATATACATTAGTCAAAATCTGTCAAATAAACAAATGAAAAATTGGTGCTTGCTGCAAGGAGTGAATGCTGACAAAATAAATTAGGCAATGGCAGGCAAAATAAACACATAAATACTTCTGATGAGTACAGTGCTGCTGAAGAAGAAGTAATTCAGCTCACCACAAACAAAATGTAAATGAAGTGGTTTTTCTCTTAATAAAATCAACTTGGCAGAGGTTCTCAAGCTCCACTGACTATAAGCCAATGCCTTATTTCCAATATTAATTTAGTGTTTACCTTTATCAGTGCCCTTATCTCTATTTGTTGTCCAGCTACTTCTTTCTGTGGTATAAAGTTCACTAGTAGTACAGGTACCTACATTTTTTCTTAAAGTAGAGAAGTAGTCACTATTTCATTCCCTTAGGAGTCAAACATATATACTAAATATAATTTTTTCAGGCAACACTGGCGAGTTCTGAATATAAAGGAGTGGAGATAATTATTGGTAGTGGAGGTCAAGAAATATTCTGTTTATATTATCTTGCTATAAGGGTAGGCAAGGGATGATGGTATTAATAAAAATACACTTGAAGTTGTTTACTAAAGTATTGTATTGAGAGTAAATACTGTAGTACCTTTTCAATAAGTTGCTGTCCCTCTTCATCTGAGAGAATGGGTGGGTCATGGTAGGTCAGCAGCCAACACACCACCCACACTAGACCCACAAATCCAAATAATTCAAAACTTACACGCCAGTCCAAGTGAGGGACAAACTGAAAAATGAAAACAACAATAGCAAATAAATCTGGACAAATCATGGAAGTATTGCACTAAAATAAAATAACATAATCATAACAAAAGGCTAAATGTCAAAAGGTTGAATAAAAATAATGGATTGATTATGAGATCCCATTTTATAACTGAACTGAGATAAAGCAACTCTGTACAGTATAGCTATGCATGTTAAAGGGACTACTACCCACACTCCAGGACTTTTAACTTTTGTGAATGTTACCTAAATATCAAATACATTAAGAAATCAGATCATCCTCCACCCTCATACCAGATTCCAAAGGCCAACACCTGTTGAGCATAAACATGTACAGTTGGTCTTTTGCTGGCAACTGTACATAACATTCATTTGTTCAACATCAGCTGCATGGACCCCAAAGTCAGAACCAGCTCACCTCAAAAAGGGGAGGGAGGGATGCGGAGTTGCTCAGTCCTGAGTGAGTTATAAAATGAGAACTCGGAATTAATCCACCATTCATAACCTTACATTGAGACTGAGCAACTCTATACAAAGCACAAAAAGAAAATTAAAAAGGGAGGTTGAAAATGCTAGTTGACTCCAACAGCTGTGCTCAGCTTTCATAAAAATGTGAGTAATCTTATCAAAATGATTTACAACTAGGTCTAAAGTAAGAAGAAAGGTAAACCATACCCATGTGGTCCTGATCCTAATGACTGTTAACTACACATATGTATGCACACATACACAAAAATAGAGCAATGAATTCAAACTAACCAGAGATGCAACAGTCTGGCCCACAGAGCCAGCAGCAACCATATAACCAAAGGCTCGGCTACGTTCTTCAGCTGGGATGTGTTGAGCAAATAGTTGAAAGATTGTTGGTAAACCTAAGAAAAAGAGATTTTATGAAAAATTTGCCATTGCTTGTAGCTCACCCATGACTATAAATAACTTTCATAATGTGAATTAAGAAGACATCCATTGTGCATGTACAATATATGTAATGGATGTGATGCATAATATATCCATAATTCAAGAGAAAAAGGGAAAAGTACGGACCAAAAAATTATCTTACAAGCTTTAATCCCATACTACATTTTCATTAATTTGTATTTGCCTTTTAAACATAACTCACCAAGTCCTTCTCCAAGTCCTAAAATAACTCTCGCAGTGATGAGAGCTGGGAGATAAGGAGCAGCTAATGGTGTGGCTGCAGTAGAGAGAGACCACAGCAACACAGCAAAACACAGAACTCTTCGTCCACCATAACTGTTGACTGCAATCGCTCCAATAATCTAGGGACAATAGAAACAGAAATGAAAAGCAAAAGGCTGATGCTTTAGTTAAGTATTTCAGGAAAGTGTTTACTAGAGAACCCGGTGAAATGCCAAGTAAATGAAAGAAAATTGTGCTGGTATTAAAACACATGAAATTTACAAGAGCACTAATATCAAATGCTATAAAATTTTCAATTTTATTTAATTTCTCACAGAAGCTGAGGCCCAAGAGCCTAAGGACTTAACTCCCTGGACTTGATGGCTATAGTGTTGCTCAATCCCAGTGTACAGTTTTAAAAAGGAAATCTGGTATGGCTTACATTCACAGTCAAAAGTCTTATTGTTCTCGCCACTTCACGAACCCCAAGATTCAGACGCATGGCCGGAGAAATGCAATTGTGTCTACTGCGTCGGCTTCATGAGTCTGAATCTCAAGGTTCAAGAAATGGCAGGAGAGACGACAGGACCTTTGACTAACTGTGCATGACCATTGGACTTTTGTCTTTGTACTGTACATAAGATTGCGGTATTGAACTGTGAAAGGGTTAAAATATAGGTTGACAAAGCAGCCCTGCTTGCTATTCACCAATAATATATTAAAATATTCATATCAAGAAACTGCAATTTTCTCATTAGAGTGTTTCTCTTGCTGCACAAACATCAACATTAAAATACACATTACAGCATATCATAATGGTAAAACGATTTGCATTAAAGAAACCTTGTCCAAAGAGACAAAATGTAAAATTAAAGAAAAATATTTAAACATTACAATTACAGTACTGTAATTCCAATTAAGTACAAGACAGTATTATAAATAGAAAATTAAAATGTAATGAGCAATAAATTACCATTCATAGTTACCAACATTAATATTCATATTACAGGTATAGTACTACTAACCTGGCTCGTAAAATAACCGAAAGCAAATCCAGATAAGATCCAACCTTGCCAATATAAGTTCCACTTATATTCACTTGCCATGGGAACAATGGCAAGTGGCATTAGAACTCTGTCTGCAGCATTGATGAAGTTTGCAATTGAGCACAGCACCACTACCTTTGATTTGTACCCAAATGAGCGCCACTGACACTTCATCCTGTAAATATACATATTATCAATTGTATTAAATTGAAGATGAAACATGTATAGTACCTAACTAGAAACAGAACTTGTAAAATAACATAACAAATAAAAAAATTCCTAAATCTAAATAAGTTGCCTAAACAAAAATGCAGCTCCAAAGAACTAATGTATCAACATTCTGTATACACCATAGTAACTTTCTAAGAGATTATGTTAAGAATTCACCAGAGATCTTTGAATGGGTAATCTATATTAATACCGAAATGTAGGATTGATCCTGAAATCCCATATCATAACAGGATCATGTTTGAGTAGCTCTGTATTGCGCCTGAACAAGCAACCTGAGGACATTTCCCCACAGTTCGTCTTTATGATATTTTTTATAACAAAAGCAGATGAAAGCGTTGAAAGAAAGCATAAAAGTGATTTACAAAAAACATATTGTTCATGCATATTTCGTCGATTTAATGAGGTAAGAAATGCCACACATTTGGTAAAGATATTCACTCTTAACTAATAAACTTCATGTACTGTACACCTGTATTTACTGTTTATACAGACATATGTACTATACAATAAGACTAGCAGAGCAAACATATGAATACGCACCTCCTGTTGACAATATGTTTTCAAAATAATTAGACTCATTAATTAAAGATATACATACCTGTGACACTTGCATTCCACAAAACATCTGCACTTTAAATACTGAAGGCACCACTCCCCTTGAGCACTGTAGCAACACCTCACTACTACACCGTCCAGTTGGCAGAGATCATCACACGTCAAGTGACAAGTGTTCGTTTACTATAACAAAATCAAAACATATCAACATTTATAAAATAATCTCTTCATTCGTTATTTATAATATTTATTTTCATTATAGATATTAAGATATTTTTAATTTCAATAAATCTGCATCAGAATTGCAGTTCTGACAATGTAAATTACTAATATTAAGTGGAGCCGAAGCCATGAATCAAGGTGTTCGAGGATGTTGGTCTTTGTAAACAATAATGTCAGGGTTTGGGTCTAAAATACATCAACATTTACCGAATATCAATAAAAACTGTGATTATTTGATAAGTACATATATATTTCACTCACATATTGATATATTTTTTAATTTTTATTATTTATATTTATAAAATGATTTTTTTAAAGTATTCTTATAAAGACTTTAGATCAACACGTGTAGTAAGGTTGGAGGCCACGAGGGCTGACCGGGTCCATAATACAGTATCTAGACCAGTTTATGAGACATGAAGATATCAACCCTCATAGAAGAATTAAGTGGGAAGCTTCCTGTAGCAGGTAAAAGGAACTGCAATATTTATATTTTAAGTAAAGACGATTGTTTACTTTTAAAGGTAGACTTGTCATCTGGACTTGGGGCCAATGGAGAAACTGCAGCTCATGTATCCATCCAACCTATGTTTGAGTTAATGATGGTGTTTGGTAACTTGTTCCACTCTTCCACTAATTTATTTCCAAGCCAATGTTCACCTATCTTGGGCCTAAATCTAAATTTGTCATATTTAAAACCATTGCTATGAGTTTGCTCCTGGTTGGATAGTTTGAGTGCCTCCAGGGTTTTGAAGACCATGGAAAATTTGCAGATCTGTTTTATGCCATGAAAAAATTATGGTAATACTAGACTTGTAGTGAGCAGATGGCTAACACCAGATGGAGTGTTTCAATTATGTTAATTTTTTCCACAGATGTTCTTTGGCTGATAGTAAGTAATAAAAACAATACCAGGTACAACTTTTTATTTTTTTAGTTTTCCTCTATTTACAATTATAAATCACCTGTAGTGGGCAGGGTATGAAGGATGAGGGAAATTGAGGTGTAATATACGGTATTATTGCATTTTCACACCCCACATTCCTACCACTAATCTGTTATCGTATTCTAATCAGACTTCTAATTGTAAGATAATTTTCATCTATTACATTACCGTCACAAATGTATAATAACGGAGATAGTATATCCAAAATTTTATCTATTTTCTTCCATTAATCTTCCACCTTTATCGCCTACCTCACCTCCCACACTGCGTGTCTCCTGCGTTTCTCCTTTGTAATTCATCACTCGCATGTTTTCCTGTACACATCATGCGACCAATCAAAAGCGTTTTTTTTTTTGCAACCAATTAAAATGATTTTTGGTTTAATTTGTGGTATTTTTGGCCCAATCAAAATCAATTTTTATTTTGAGTTTCATATTTCCAAATTCATATTCATTTCCGATAAGTCTATGATGGGTGTCATTTTAATTATATGGAGCTGATTGCGAGTTTTTGGGAAAAAAACGAAGAAACTATAGCATTTTTTCGATCGCATGGTGTTCTTCCAACCTCAGTAAAGTGTCCTAAGTGCAAGACTGAATGTAAATATCGCAAAGACCAACATATGTGGCGTTGTGTAAGAATCTCAGAATCCAATGTCGAACAAGAACCAGGCCAATAAGGTAAGAAATAGGTGATTCCATCATACGGTGAGAATCAGTTAGGTTAAGTTAGGTTTGGTTTTTGTTTTTCTAGTGTTTTTTGGTGTATTTTTTATTCGCTTAGCCATTAGTTTTTGGGGGATAACGTCCCACGAAAAAAAAATCGATAAAAAAACTGGCCAATTTCCGACGGAAATGAAGGTCATATTCGGTCAAAACACACACAAATACACTAGACAAATATATTTTTTACTTTCTAACAGAGTGGGGTGTGCAAGTGCAAATTTACCTAAAATAAGGCCAAAAATAATCATTTACCGTAAATATTCAGCTGAAGAATATGCTTTATGAGAATATCTGTTCTAGAATGTCTGCAATTTTTGCCAACATATTTAGATAATTAGGTTAGATTACATAGTATGGCAACCATGGCTCACATAATGGGGTTTGTAGTATTACTGTACAGTACAAGGAACCCCCATTAAGCAGCCCTGCATTACAAATCCCATCTGGTAATTGGCTTAGAAAAGGGATTCAGGGTCAATCCTCCATTTCTTGAATAATTTTAAAGGTGAATAAGGAGTACAGTACAGCATTTACCTTTCTGATAAGTACCTGAATTATGATCCGCAGCTTGTATGGTAACAGTACTCCAGGCAAAGTTAAATTCATATATTTAATTCATAACCTTAACATGGTAGAGAAATCAAAATGTGCCCATCACACCCAGCATACTCCTCTAACCTTTGGGCATAGACTTAGGGCTGTGTCTCATTGACTAGTGAGGCACAGAATGTTGTCTTACTGTATGTAGAATGGCGTGATGTGTTTAGGAAATGCTCACAGTTTTTTTACTTGCAGCTTTAGATGAATTCAACACCAGTGTCGAAGAGAAGGGTGATGCTCAAGGTGTCATCCATAGGTTTCTTCTTGCATCAAAAAACTGTGATGAAATTCTTGATCTGCTATTGGTGGATAAGCGCACTGGTAGTGAGCTTACAACAGTTTTCACAGCACTTGGCCATATTCTCTTTAAGTAAGTGAAAAAAAATTATAAAATTGAGATCCTTGAATAATCTTGAAGTACTGTAGTTGTAAATCTTTTCCTGTTTTGTTGTACACTCTAGTACTGATATCGTGGATAGCTGCACTGTACTTAACGACATGTAATTTTTAAAGTACAGTAGTAGCTATTTTATTTTAACTTTTATTCTTATATAACTTCATATTTTATTTATATAATATAGTTTCAACTTCTTCTATTGCTAGAGATCACTAGTGTAGGTTCCATGCGGCTGTCCACAACTTTAGTCCTAGAGTGTGCGGTACCTGTACATGTAAATTACATGAGTGCAGGAATTGGGATTTTACCACTTGTTTAATCAACTTTTTCTTTGTGTTGTATTTTACACTGTTTTTCATTTTATTCTGACATTGCTTATAATGAAGAGCAGCATTTATTGGCAGGTACAAAGTAAAAAATTTCACATGGGAAGTTTATAAAGGTTTCTAAGGTTAGCTGTTGCCAAAGATGCTAGTGTGTGACACAGTCTTGTAAAATGTGGGATACATGACAGCTGGTCTTCATTTTGACAGGTGTGATTTTGAGCTTTTGTTTTTAGCCCTTTTTGTTAAAGAATGAATTAAGGAGGAGAGCTAATTAACATGGATAATTTATTATTAAAGGGACCTCTCTAAACTTTACCTATATGATATCCTTGATGCCTTGAATTTTTCTTCAGTATTGCTGGTGAACTGAAGGATTTCAGCAGTGTTGGTCTGCACATCACCCGGCAATTATTGCACAATCATGATGCATTTATATATAAACTCTTGACTCCAACCAGTACCAATAAGGCTTGCAAGGCTGTGCTTCGCTGTCTTACAGGTAAATAATACACAAGTTATCTTATCCAGTAATAGGATGTTCTGTCAACTTATTATTATATGATGAAACACCTTGTGCTGAGCTAAATATCTCATCCTAGAGGTACTGTACATATGGCAATGTTCATGCAGAGAATACCACAATGAAGTATACTATACAGTACTGTACTGTACTGTATTGTCATTATAATGAATCATAACAATTGGGCAAAAATTAGTAAACTGTCCGAGTGTAAGGTATCGGTAGTCAGTTTCAGAATACAGTACTGTACTGTACTGTATTTTGTATTGGATTAAAAAAAGGGAAAGTAGGATAGGTTATACTGTAACTTGGAAGATTTGCATGAAAATAATACCTGCATCTCTATATTTGAAAAGAAAAAAAAATCATATGAATGTGCAAACTAAAGTCCTATTCTGCTTACAGGAATGGTGATGGTTGGTGGAGAAGCAGCCAATGAGGTATTACTGACTTTGGATTGGCATCTAATCAATATTTCTATTCTTGTGAGTCGCCAGAGCATGAGAGATGTTCGTGATGTTCGTGCTTGGTGCATTTACCTATTTCTCGCTTTCCTCAATGTCTCGGACGAACCACTTGTCATCAAGCAGTTTCTTCAGAAAAAAGGTAAATACAAGACTTAAAGTCAGGTTTGGTGTAGGAATTTTCAGTATAAATACAAAGGAAATAATTCTGGACATATTTGAAGCTGATAGCATGGACTATGCGATATCAAAGGGAGAGGGAATAACAGGTAGGTTTTTAGAGGGGTGATTGTAGTGTTAATATGTGAAAATATGTCACCATTTGTGGCCTGATTGATTGAATTTATTTATTGGATTTATATAATTTCATTTCTGTCATTTTAGGTTTATGGTTTCATTTATTTAAATTTTTTTCAGATCTTTTATCTGCAATTTTTCCTGGTCTAATGTGGGACCCTTGTGAACGTGTCATCAACGTATTGAAGGTCATGCATGAATCAGTGTTGCTGAATCCTGATATATCAAAGACAATGAAAGTAAATTTATTCACACCCGCCACAGCCAAATCTCTCTTAGACTTGTACAATTGGATGGGACCACTTGGGAAACTGGCTAAAGGTGGGAGTGTGCAGGATATGGACATTCACATTGGGGGAAACTTACAGAAAGAAAGAGCTCAGATCATAGAGGTGTTGCATAAGTTTTTGTATTCACTGTGCTGTTCTACAAAGCATGGAATTCTTTTCCAAGAAAAACTTCAGGAAGGCCGAATCCAATCAAATAATTGGTGTCTCTATAAGATAGTATCTAACTTGAAGACACCTTGGAAAAGTCCAGAGCAGTCTGAACTTATAAGTGGTGTTTTAGGTGCTTGCCCTGATCTTCTACAGGCATATCTTAAAACTCTCAAGGATTTCCTTACTCCAAGACCAACAAAATCATTTATTTCTCTTATTAACATGTTAACTCAAATTATTGAACAACAGAAGCCATGGAAAAAGTTGGACACAAGAGGAATTGCAGGAGTGTTTTCATGTCTTTTACCACGACCTCTAGATGTTAAATTTTTCCAGTCATTAGTGGGATCTTGTTACAAATCAATAAGACATTGTGGATTAATGCTTGTATTTGCTATTCTTTCCAAAATTCAAGAATCTATAGATAATATAATGAAGAATGAGGCATATTCTCAGGAAGTCAAAGAGCAAACTCGGAGAAAGTTGGTAAATTCAGTTTTCAGGGTTCAGGGGTCGGTGAAGGATATTGTTCAATGCTGGAATGTTGCAACAGGTCAAGAGGCAGCATCCATTCAAGATGATGAAAAGAATGTACTTCAAGAGGACACTGCTGATCCAGTAGCAACTATTACCGAACTCCTCACAATTGCCAAGGTTTTGACTGTTTACACCCAACTACTACCTAAACAAACTTTCCAAGAACTCATCAGTCCTCTAGAGATGTTGCAGACTGTAAGAGTCTTACCAACTGAAGGCAGTGATAGTGTAAAAAACACTAAAGACAAGTTAGAGCTGCAAATGCTGTGCTTAGGCATCATTGCTGGTAGTAAACAAAGCCAAGAAGTTGCAGTGGACAGCTCACTGAGGTTGGGTGATCAGAACCAACAAATAGAGAAAAGCATTATATTTCAGTTGATAAGTACCTATGCTCAGTCAAAGAGAGAGTTTATGGCAACAGAAGGTGAGTCAGCAGTGCTCTCTGTAGGAGATAGATGCCTGGAGATTTTATCAAATTTCCTTGCACAGACAGGACTATCCTTTCATTATGACGGCAATATCAAATTTTGGTTGAGACACATTAGTGGCAGCAGTATAGTAAAATTGTCTTCTTTCTTAACTCAGATTATCCAGAAAACTGTCTCCTCCCTTAGTCACTATACAGATCATCTTGTGGAGATAGGAAACAAGAACCAGTTGAATACCAGCATTGATGGCCAAGTTTCTTCCTTCGTAACAGAATTAGGCACCATGGAAGTCACTGATAATGAAGATGTATCTGCACTCTCCATATCCTTCCCATTCTCCCGATTGGTTCTTGCTACAATTGATCTCCTTGAAAGTTATCTTGATTCAGAATACATCCAGTATTTCTCTAATGTAATTGAGGATTATCTTCTGTCCCTGAGTGATCCAGGATTCTTAGCGGATATACTATTACAAAATGAAAATATTCTGACAACAGACTTGAAAAATTATCTCAAATGTATGTTCAAAAAATCAGAAACAGTGGTACATGGGCCTCCAAGTACTTTTGAAAATGCAAACCTTTCCGAGATTCTTAAATATTTGTTTTTGACTCGTGATTGGTCATCAGTGAAGACAATGCTAGAAGGACACAGGCTTAAAGAGTTGATGGACAAAACTGACCTCGATTTGGTTGTCTTGCAGCTTCTACTCTACTTGTATCTTGACTCATGTTCAGAGAAGAATGGAGACAATCTTATAGAAAAATACATTGGAATATTAAAGTGTATGTGCACTATTATTGAGGAAGACAGTGATAAAAATTTTAAACAAGTAATCCAAGCAGTTTTGGATCACCCCAGAATATTAGCAAACTACAAACCATTTTCTCTTAAAAAGTCTCCCATCACTGAATTAGCCCAGGAGTTTATTGAGTTAGTGCTAGAAAAGCATCCTTCCCTTGCTCCCAAAACATGTTCGTATTTTGAAAAAATATTGAGAGAGATAAAGATACCAGTAAACAACAGGGATATTGAAGTTGAATTTTGGAAGCCAGTGGCACCATTCATAACATTAAAGAACACAGTTGCGAGCTATGAAGCAGTTGAGCAGTTGTTAATAATTTGTCTGAAAGATCCATGTCATTTATCGCATTCTCAGGATATTTTAGTTCTTGAGCTAGTAAAACTACTTTTGAAAGTAACAAGTGCTAAAAGGATGCCTACAACTCAATCAGTACAACTCTTGCTCACAAGCTATATAGAATGGTGTAGGACTGCAGAAGAAAATGAGACACTGGAAGCAATTATGAAGCATATGGAGCAACTCCTTACTCGAATCACAAGTGAAGAAGTAGCTGCACACCTTACTACAGGTAATTACTATGAATGTGAGGTTGACCTTTTACGTTCATGAAATGTAGCCAAATTTTGCTGTACCTGTTGTCTGATATAAATTATAAATGTGTGTTCTTGTCCATAACCCTAAACAATTATTAATGATATAGTAGTTGGAGGTTGGCTCTTGTTATATCTACACAAGCTAATTAGAGTATACTTATACTGTATTAACTGGACATTGATATGAATTTTTACTTTAATTTACATATAGAATGTATCCAGCTTCCCTTGCTCTTTGTTTAAGAAGGTTACTGATATGAGGATAACACCTACTGTATATTAATTTTCTTCATGGTGCAAAATTTTTATTTTTTTTAGATGACATAAAATGCCTAGTACGTGCTCGCACACCCTGCGTTGATCTCTGCTGTCAGTTGATGAAGCTGCATCCTTCACATGGCACAACACTTGTTAAACATCTTAAATCACATCGGGCAGTTCTACCATCTCAAGCCCCCCTCTTGGCATTACTTTTAGACCAAGATGAAACTATGGCTACTGCAGAGTTAGCTCTTGCTAAGGTGTCTCGGAAAATTAAATTATGGGCCCTTGATATAGATGGTGATGATGATGCAACTAGCATACTCTTTGCCCTTGCTCTAAAAAAGAACCTAATAGGTAAGTACAATACAGTCACTATGATGACACTAGAAATAGAGTCTTTCATTTAGTAGTTTCCCAGATCACATTGGCTATATGTTAACATTCAGCAGAATCAACTTTGTGCAATGTAATACCAGCTCACTTGTTACTGGAGATTATCAAGTCAACTGAGTTCATTTTTATACTGTTGAAACATACCTTTGATCCCATTAGGTTGTGGTATGGTAGGATAGTATGAGTTTCAGTGAATCAAAGTTTGTTCCACTCCATAGTATGGTGACCAAGAGTGCAGCTAATTGACTCTTTGTTATGTTGAAATTACCCAAAAAGGTTTATTAGCCCATAGTAAGATTTTCCCATCAAGGTAAGGTTAAGTTAGGTTAGGTTTGTTTATAGACATACTGTAAGCACTCTGGCTCGGGGTGGTCCAGGGTAATTTTTGTCTAAGGGTGATATCTTGAAAATGCAGTAGGGACCTATAGCAGCCATAAATCTTACCACTTTCTTGAAATTACACCAGAAACAATTGAAATGTTGCTGCCTTACCATTTTAGGCCCATGTGGCTTGTAGTGGAATATTGCTTATTGACTGTTCAAAGGGATGAATTACATTTGTATTGATACTTTAAACTGCAAGTATATTGCTTTTATGTTTGTTGTACAATATATACTATAACCTCTGGCCCTATATTCTTACTTCACAAACTACCTCAATTTTTAGTGGGATTTCAGTTGTTAATGTTACTTTATCATCACCTTTATTGTTCCTCTTAATGCCGGGTTGCTGGAATCAAGAGAAAACATCATACATTTTCTGTCTACAGTTTTGTCCTTCATTCATTCTTACTGATATTGGAGATTTGCTTCTTCTAAGGTATACTTCCCTTCCTTAGCGAGGCCCAACAATATCCATCGGGTTTACCCACATCACCCATCAGAAGTACATGTTTCCCTAAATTCCACGTGTTATAGTTGTAATTTTTACAGTGACTTCTTGCCTCATACAGAATCATTTAATTCTTGCATTTCACACCCTGATTGTTTTTATTGTAAATATTTCCTAGGTTTCATATTAATGCCTAGAGTCATGCAATATCTGGTTAGTATTTAGTGATACAGTATAACCTTTGCTCCACAGATGATGACTCTTTGTCTGAGATATGCTGCCAGCTGTATGAAAAAATGGTCACTCAGAAACATCCTCCACCCAAGAAGTTTCTCTCTTTGGTGCCAGTTTTTCACAAGTTATCCAACTCTGGGCCAGTACTGCCTAAATTTGATCTACCAGAAGAGGACTTGGCTTTGCTAAACATCTGCTTATGTTTCATTCGAAGCACTTATCAGAAAGAACTTCAAAATACAAACCAGTTGCTGAATGTTTCAAATATCATAAAGGAAATTCTTCCCAAACTTGGGCAGTCATCCTACACTACCTTGGCACCCACCAAAATATGGTCATCTTTTGTGAAACAAGTGAGTACATTATAATTTTAAGAATTTTATGCTTAGTTTTATCACTGATTTTCAAGTACTGTACTGTATATAGAAATACACAAATTAGAGGAAAATAGAGTACAGATATCCCTCGTATAGCATTAATTCACTTAACAATAATTCAATTTAGTGCTAAAAAATTATTAACCTTCTTGTTTAATGTTATGTCAAAACTTCAGCTTAATGACAGCTTTTATTACATGTAACATAGGCAACATACCATCTCCACGGATACTGGTCCTCATTTAGCGATAATCTCATTTAACGTTAGATTTTCAGGAACACGTCCCCATCATTAAGCGAGGATACCCGTATGCATATACAGTACTGTACATTTAGCTCTCATTATTGTTACCTAGTTAAGTTGCAGAAAAATCTTTCAATTTCTTGGCTATTCAGGCAATTGTAGTTATGATGATTAAACCAAATTCTGTTTCCCAGTTAGATAATCCATGCATCTTGCTCTTCCTGTATCTATAATCAGTTGCTTGGCAGTGTACACTCATATATATTCTCCCTGCAGGTACTACGTAATGGTCTCAGTGATCAGAGTGTGGGGCCTGATCTGATACACACTTTGAACCTGTTGTGTGCAAATTTATATAAAAAAGTCAGCCAAGGAAGATATGGAGAAGACAGTAGTCTACCTGTAACTACCCTTTACCAAATGATCATGGCACACTCCCAGTATCTCACACTCATGTTCAATAGAGCAGAAGAATGGGGAAGGCTTAAAGGTATGTATTATGACTGTTGTTTCTATCCTATTGTTGGCACTAGATTGAATATGTAGGTTTGATTTGGAAGTCTAATTTTGTACAGTAGGCTTTCGCCAATAACGACTTCCACAATAACTTTTTCGACAATAACGGTAAGTTACAATAGATATCCATTTTCAGTAATAACGTCTGGATTCTCTTGAATAACGGAAATTTTGCGGGAAGCCTCCGAGTGCATCAATGATAGTGTTTGTTTGCTGCCATGTTGATGACGTAGTTGTCCACTCCACCTCGCTCTCACACACGCTCAGTGAAATACAACGCTGCACCCACGTGTGAGATTTTCGCCTCTATAACCAGTGGTTGTTCGGGTCGGTGATCAATAATAGCTTCCGCATTTTTGCCTGTAGGGGCTACGGGAGGTGGTGAATGACTGGAAACTTTTAAAGTGAGGAAATTGAACTGTCCTGAGTCTACAGTGCGAAATATTAAGAGGAACTTAGAGGAGACCAAGAAGAGTATTGCGCTGGCGAAAAATATTTCGGTAGTGATGGAAATGCGAGGCGAGCTATGAATGATAAAGGCAATAGAAACAGGTTGTTAGTGATAACAGAGCATTTTCTTGTGAAATGGTTAGTTTGTAGAATGAAAGACAGTGCAAGTGTTAGCGGCCCTCAGATACGGAACAATCATCACACCAAGCACCTCAAAAACTCCCCCAAGCTAAGTGTTATATTACTCAACCTCTTTATTTTGATGATTGAATAGCAATTCTTTTTATTTCAGCTAACAAAAAGTGTTAGGCAGGGCTTCAAAGGGGAAAAAATTGGTGAAATTCTTGTGGCGGCGGCACCAATAAACCCTTTTTACATGTATTTTAATGTCACACAAATAACGTTTTCGCTAATAACGGTGTTTTTCAGGCACCTATTAAACGTTATTGGTGAGAGCCTACTGTATCTAGGCCCAGGGTTTGCCAATTTTAACTAATGGTTTAAACCAAACCAAAATTTTATTTATTTATTTTTTAATCTAAGTCTCTTTTCTTGGTTTTAATAAGCTTTTTGTTGATTTTTATTACTTACAGATGATTTTAATGATTTATAGTAGATTTGGAAAAAGCATATAATAGGGTGAACAGAAAAGCATTGTGGGAGGTATTACAAGTGTATGGGGTGGGAGGAAGGCTATTAAATTCAGCAAAGGCATTCTATGAGAACAGCCGGGCAACAGTAAGGGTAAATGGGAATGAAAGTGAAACATTTGAAAAATATGTGGGTATTAGACAGGGATGCGTTATGTCCCCGTGTTTGTTCAATATATCCATGGATGTGAACCATTATACATCGGTGAAAGTGGTGATAATAATCTTTCTTACCGAGCTGTCCAGTATAATGGTAACTGCTTCTGTTTATGGTTGGGCTCAGATCATGTATTATATAGGTCCAGATGTGCACTTTTTTATGTGTCAGTGAAGGCTGTTTTATAGAAGAAACTGATATACCAAGTGTCTCCTTTTGAAGCATCTAGTATTGGTGGGAAAAAAATTCATATTTTAGGTTGCAGTCACAAATTTTAGGTCACTGAAAACATTTTCTCTCCTTGCTTACTATACATGAGTCACGCATCCCAGTTCTGTAAGTGAGATTTCAAGATTAAAGCTTCATTTTATCACTTGTCATTTAGCCTGTTTATTAACTGTTTGTAAATAGTATTTGAATATAATTATTTTAGTATTATTAATATTGTTCTTATCTTGTTTTTCATCTTCATAGATTGACTTACATTTTGATATTTATTGTCTATTACACTGAAAGGAAATTGAAGTTAATTACTCTTGACACAACAGCACATATACTGTATTTACTTTAAGAAAGAATAAGTTCCAAAACCACAGGTAACAAATATTACTTTCTATTCACAGAGGAAGTAGTCGCCTTGCAGCAAACTCTGGTTGACTGTGAAGAGACGGTCTGCCAGGAGAACCATATTCCCATCTTATTAGGAGCTTATGGGGCTTCCATGTCTGCAGTGGACCAACGCATTTTGAAGGTACTAACCATGAATATTTTCTTGTTGCTACCTCCTCTGCTCTCGGCCATTTCAGTATCACAACAGAAAACAACTGGATTAAAGTTTATCATTTGAATATGTGATTATTTTTTTTATTTATACTGTATTTTATGTTTGAGGGGAATTTGAAAATGAAAAATAGTATTAAACTCTCTTTCCGTAGCAAATATTAAAAGTTGAATCATCAAAAATTTTGTTTCCTTAAACAGAAAAGATTACCGGTAATTGTATTTTTCCTATTTATATTTACCTATTTTATAAATTGATGGAATATGGCACTTCATTCTGTAGCATTTATTTACTAACTGCATGTAATTGACTATGAGAAGTCAGAAATAGTTGACTCAAGCAGAAGTGAATATATAAGGCACAAATCCAACCTTAATATACAGTTGTCTTCATTTTATTTACCATGTCAGCTACCTCGTCACATCAAAATACATACGCTTTTGCCCAACCTAAGATTAAACAATAGTCTGTAAATATAAAAAGATGCAAATACTGTGTGACTGTTTCTTATGCAGGGATGATCTCAATAAGCAGAAAGATTATTACACACACACACATGCACACACAGTTACAGTATATGTTGATGTAAAAATCCTTTTACTGACAAAGGAATCTTCAGGAAAAAAATGGAGGTTTGGTCAATGTTATATTCCAAGGTAGTGAAATGAAAAAAAATAAAAAATAAGCCTTTCCTTTCCTCCGCAGCTGCTACACACCTATGAGGGAAAAGGATACATGAATGATTATCAACCGATATTGTGGGGTGATACAGCTGTGGCTCACTTTGGTGTGCACTCCTCAAGCATTGGCCTCGTCAGGGACCCTAAGCCAGAAGAAATACTAAACCTGTTGAACATGGACAAAATTATGCAGACTTGTTATAAATTTAATACCAGACTACCATTAGAAGTGAGCTTTGATTTATTCTTTTTATTGCAGTTAATGTTCTAAACTTATATTTTGTGACTACCTTAGTGAAACAAAGTACTGTAATGATAATGAAAATATAATGATGATAATAAGAATACAAATGATGAAGATGATCTTATTAATACAGTACAACAATAACCCAAGTATTCCTCCTCTTCCTGTGTGTTTGAAGCCATCTGAGTGTTGTGGGATATCACTTTCAGTCCATATTCTAAAGTCAGAAATATTTTACAGTATTTTTAGTGCAACAAGGAGCATTTTGTATAACAATTAATTTTCTCTCCTGCATATCTAAATAGCCAGGGGAGGTTCAGAAAGAAGACCCATCCATATATGACATACGTTTCCTCATACCTCTGATGTTATTCTTGGCTGATGGAGACAAGTTGTACGATATTGATTATGCTGAGTGTGGGGCAGTAGCCCTGGGCTTTATAGCAATGACGTCACATGAACGAGAAGTTTGGGGTTCTGGTGCTGCTCTTCTGAGATGCATGGTAGAAAAAATGGAAGTGTCCAGGTACTGAATATTTATGTTTTTATTAAATTTATTGTTAGATGGATATAGAGGTAGTAATAAAATGAACATACGGACCAGTAACATAAACTGTCCTTAAGTGTGGAGTTCACTGTAGAATCAATGTGATCTGTTATTACTTTGACCTTATTTTTATAATAAGCAAAACATTATAATTTCTTCCAAGCTTTTTTTTTTTTTTTACATGCAGGAGTTACGTTAAATAATAATTCTCTCCCATTTTATATATATATATATATATATATATATATATATATATATATATATATATATATATATATATATATATATATATATATATATATATATATATATATATATATATATATATATACAGTATATATATAAACAGAGGGAATCATGAAGAAGCAATTTCATGTTTTCCTTAACTTTAATGTATCATGCCTAACAATGTGTTCTTATTCTGTTTTGTCCTTTTTGAACTTGATTCTTATTAGCTTTTAGTTTCTTTTTGTTGATAAAATGAATTTAATTTTAGTTTTGGTACAGTATTGTAATTATCTTGATAATTTTTCAATATTTCTAGGCATCGTCGATTAAAGTTACCGTGGTTATGGCTGGTGGGAGTAGTCAGCTTTGCATTTGGGGGTAAACAGCGGCGCCTTCCCGCTCTAACAACTCATTTCCTCATTCGAGCATCTCAGCTTCTCTCACAGCCTGACCACCCCATGTACCAGCCAGTACTCAACTATCTCTTCATCAGACCTGCTTTTGAATTGTATTATGTAAGTGTCACTCCTTTTGTAATACAGTACAGTATCATGAATATTCTGTTTACTGTAATAGAATTTTAAGAATAATTCACTAACACTCATAGCAGTTATACAGTACTTTATAACTGAAAAATTTTGTCAATGTTGAAAGGTAAAGGGAGTAGAGTCCTCTAAAACAACCAATGGATGCTGAAAAACTTCCTTGTAACTGATTAAGTTGTATTGATACCTAAATTATGTTATTGACTTTAATTGCTAAATTTTCAGCAACAAAAATTACATGTGTGTGTTTATTTTCTTTCTCTTTTTTTTTCAGGTCCCAGAGTTATATGAATTCTATAACTCAGATCATATAACTGATAATAGGTTACATAGATCATTCCTCTTAACAACACTTTCTACTGGTATTCGACAGATTCTAGATTACAGGATTTGTCAGAAAACCTACACCAATACCTTGATGATAGCCATGCTTCAGGCTCCCTCGGTGGATAATGAACTTCGAGTAAGTTGCCTCATTTCCTTTATTGTGGTAAACCTTGAGTAATAGTGAAGATGTAAATGATAAATGGAGCACTGTATTTGTGAATTTATAAACCGAAGTTGTTCTCAAAGTTTTGCCTGTTATGACAATAGTACTGTACAGTACATCATTTTGCTGGGTTATGTTTTGTCTATAAATACAGAATAAACACAACAGTTTACCCTCCTCCTGTACAATATAACCTCACATAACTCTAAGGGCCAGAAACATGTTCGGGAATGTAAAAGTTTGCCATGATCCAAATTCTAAACTGTATTCTATATCTAAAATACACACTAAGGTAGTATTACAGTCATGTTGATGTGGTCTTACATATTTATTAATGTTGATATATGACTATGTTTACTAATGAGTTCTTTGTGGATCACTTATTTAGTATGCCAAAATGTAAATAGCACTGTACTGTACCTTATTCCTTCAGAAAGCTAAGGTCATGTAATTTTAGCTTGGGTTCAGTATTAGAGTAGAGTAGAATACACCTATATGTTTTTCTTTGTGGCCAACACACAGCTAGGTGGCTAGTACACACCACCACTTTAATGTTGATGGTGTAACATTAATACAAGATCTTCAAGATGATAGATAGAATGGTTTAAGCACTTTGTACTTCACAGTTAGTCGTCATATGGCCAATACACATCACATGGTTGCCCATTGATTATGTAACATTAGTAGTACAGGGTTGCTATAATTAAATCTTTGTGCAAACCCTTCATTGTATAAGAACTTAATAAGATTTTACTGATTAAGCTTTTAGATTTTGGTGTTGTAACACTTGTGTGATTTAAATGCCCACAGTGAGGTATACAGTTGCCCGGCAAGTCATGGTGTATTGCCAAACTGGCTGCTACTCTCAGATACACACCACCTCCCACACAGAATATACACCTACTCTCTTAATTTTCTTTTATATTTTCATATTACTGTACAGTATACTATGGTATTCTCTTTATTCATAAGGCAGAAAGGCAGACTAGCACATTGAGATGACTTTTCTGCAAATTCTGTGGTCACTCACATGTAACAATGGCATAGCGCACAGTCATGTGAGAGGTGACTGACATATTTTGTAGTTGAAGAAACTTAAGACTTGTTGGGCAATTTTATTACTTAGTATAGTTTTCTTTTACATTATATTAGATGTTTTAACACTATCTATGCATCATATTCGGTACACACAGACTTAATATAAAACAGTGGATGATGAAGACGATGTATATTGGTGCACCATATAACGAGGACCGCCCTGTATTAGTTTGTTTTGTAACAAATTACAGTACTATACAAATGAGAACCATGAAAAAATAGCGAGAAAATCATAAGATGCAAGTCAGTGACAAGGTAAAATAGTTAGCTTCATTCAGCTATGATTATTGATATAAGAAATACTTGTACGGTATAAGGATTGGTAACTTCCATCATCAGTGAATATTAACCTTAGTCAGGCAGCAATAAATACAGTATGCATGATCTGTGTTCTCTTGTTACTTTTCTATGGCCACTTGTTCTTTTAGATATTGTACCTACTGATGATGTATAGGTTCCATTTATTTCTTATCTTCATTGACATTATTTCTTCCCATCCTTAGGTGCAGGTTCTTGAAGTATTAGAAGCTATAGTTCGCATCCATCTTGGGGCTGTGGAACTAGTAAGGAATCAGAATTTGTTGACTGTGTTACCACTGGTAGCCTTACCGGTAAACACTGCTGCTCCCAAGAGTGATGCTTCCTCAAGAGTAACCACATCTGGTAACCCCATAATTTTGGCAGCAGTTCTGAATGTCCTATCAGCTTTGTGGTCTACTGTCATTGACAGCATCACAAGGAAAGATATTACTGCCAATTATCCTGCTGAAGATGAAGAAAACGAACCTCAAGAACCTGAATGTGAAGATGACCGCAAAAGAAAAAGAGTTCATGAAGATGGCTCCAAATATAGGAAGAAAATGAAGAAGGATTATACTGACAATGATTCTCAGGCTGATGAGCCTCGGAAAAAGATGCTTCCCCCCTTGTTTATTCATGAATTTTTAAATTGCTTGTCCCTCCTGACACCTACTGTTATTTCATATGCTTCACTAGCTACTACGACACAACATCTTGTGCTCCTTGCAGACTATGTGCAATATGTAGATACAATTGCTGAAATAATAGACAAAAAGGACAAATTTCGTTCTGTAGCTTTAGCTCCTGAAGTAATTAAACAAAAGGTAAGTAGAAAAAAGACTCATGATATATTACTTGATATGTTTAACTGATACATTTGTTTTATTAATTAAAAGATTGTATAGTAGAAACTTGTCTACTGCAGGGGTTAGGTTCCACAAAAACAATATGTCGGACAAATCTGCATAACTTACGGGAAAATTATGGCTAAGAGAAAAAATTTGTGGATGGTGACATAGTTAGACCTCTTTCTAAATAACATTCCAAATAATGAACATATAATTGAACCACACTTTGATGCCTGAAAGTCACACCTACTGCTTGACCTCCGACTAGCTGTAATATGTTCATAAAGATCTAAAGCATTTTTTATTATGGCAACACCATCTACAACAATCCCTTTCTTGTTCTTTTGGTCACTGATCCACACACTTAAAAGCTTCTCCACCTTTGCAAATTTAGGATTTCTTCTGGCTACTTGCAGCACACTTCTAATCTTGTCCTGACACAGATGAATGGTACATGTAATGTACTCAGCCAACAACTGCCACATACCACTGTATAGCTTGTCTAAAATCACTGTTTACTCAACTAGTACTATAACAGCTTTACATTTTGTCCCATAGTCCAGTTATGGAGGTACAGTAGCTGCCGGGTAAGAATGACTTGTACTGTACATAAACTTTTGTAGTCTCTCTAACTCAGTTTGAAAATTTTACTTATAATGATTGTATATTTTTTTATCTCTTTACAGGTTTTTGATAACATCGGATGGGACCTTTTATATGATCGTCTTCAGGAACGGCTGAGTGACGATGATGAGATTAAATTGCTTGGCAGTAAGGCGATAAGTATGCGGGAAAAGTGGCTAAGTGAACCTCTCGCAAAGTATCTTCAGAAGAAAGAAAAGGCTGTGTCACTGGATAAAGACAAAGATGAGCCACTTCAGAACTTAAGAAATGCAGCCATAAAACTTTTAAGTGTATTGGGAAAATAACTATAAATGAACTACAGGTTAGTTGTTAATATTGTAAGCATATTTGTTATATTCATTTGAAAAAAAAGATACTATATGTAATTGTAAATACTGTCAACTAAATATGATCCTCAGAATTCCTTAAGTCTCAGAAATTATGTACAGTATGTCCAAGACATAATTTTGATAATAAAGATTTTTGTTTTATATCAGTATGGCATTTTCTCCCCGAATCTGGGTATATCTCCAACTTAATCTACTTGTTAGGTGCTCTAAATTTATGAGCACCTCCAAGGCTCTCTTTCCAAAACTGCATCTTTGGGGATTATCTAGGGCAGTGGTTCCCAACCTTTTTTGACTGCGACCCTAAATTTCCCTACAATACGGTGTCGTGACCCTCAGGCATATAATATATTATATAGCTTGAATGTTAAGCAAAAATTTTTTTGACTTTATGATAATTACCATATTTTTTAAATTGTCTGAGGGCCCCTCGCGACCCTACTGAGCACACCCCGCGACCAGGGGTGCAGTGCTGCCGGAGCTCACAGGAGCGCCGCTCCGGCACCTCTGTTTTGATCAATCAATCAATATCGCCGACACCTTGTTCCCTCCCGGGAACTCCCCAACAGGGGGTGGCCATGGCAGAAATGTCTCCGGGTCATTTTATTCTCGCACACCTCACTTGCTCTCTCCAAAACTCTTCATCCCCTTTCCGCTCTCTCTTCAACAAACTCTCTAATTCTTTTCTCCCAGGTGGCAATTGGTCTACCCCTCCCGACATTCCCCTCTCTCTTGCTATCATAAACTTTTTTTGTCAGCCTGCCTTCATGCATCCTCGGCACATGTCCATACCACCTTAGTGTATTCCTCTTCATCCACTCCACCACACCACACTTCACACATGAAGTTATAGTAAGCTCTATATGTTATCATAAATCTAAATCATTCAAGCAATCAACTTTATTTTCCACTAATAATGCAAAGCCGAATATATCCTCATATAATTAATCTATCCTTCAGATCAGCTTACATTTTATGACTTATCAATATTGTAGAAAGACTTTGATAACAGGTGCACTTCTAAACATTTAAAAGAAGTACTTCCTCGCATAAGAGCTATAGATATGTGACCAATATTGAGAGGATAAGCACATTAGACTACTACTAGATCAAATATATATATATATATATATATATATATATATATATATATATATATATATATATATATATATATATATATATATATATATATATATATATATATACATATATATATATATATATATATACATACATATACATATATACATATACGGTTTAGGGAACGGAAATTATTTTGACAGCTCTGGTACCTTAAAAATTGGCACTGCAACACTGCCCGCGACCCTGATTTGGGTCGCGACCTGAGGTTTGGAACCGCTGATCTAGGGTATACAGTACAGTACTGTATTCCCTTTATAAATAATGCCCTTATCAACTTGCAGTTGGCTCATTTCACTTTCTTTAATGTAGGATTATGAATTCTGGAGTCATATGAGATTGAGTTTCCAGACTTCCTTTGTTTAAATTTTGGTGTTGAGGTAAGCAGTGCGCCTCCCTATGAATGGTACTTTGGAGTCCTTCTCCTTAATGAACTTTTTGTTCTTTCATAATAAAAATTATAAAGAGAACTATATTAAGATATACAGTATGAGTCTCTTTTAGGTGGTCAGTATGATGGCTGACACTTTAGTTCCTCTGTTCTTGACAGTTGCATTCTTATGTTCTATATATCATAGTACAGGGTACTGTAGTGTACAGAGCTATGTACCTAAGGTTAACACCGGTGCTAGTTCCTGGCCCTATACTGTAGCAGCCCTGATGAAGGTTCTAGTCTCTGTTTAGACATGTCCACTCTCGACTTGTTTTACTTCATTATTGGTATTTCAAGATAAAATTTTCACCTTTTACCTTCATAGTGTATTTTTTAGATACAGTCCTGTACAAAAGAGTGGGACAAAGAGGAAACAAAAATGCTTGTAAAGGCCCAGCAATATATTCTTAAGTTTATAACAAAATATGGAGTACAAGTACAGCTAAAGGCTGGACCATCAGGCAGTAAGAGGCATGTTTTTGGTATTTAGATAAGCTTGTAGAATGATAGGTGAATCCCAATCATATTTCTGCCTGGCTGCAACAGATATCCTCCACATAATATCTAATTTAGTTCTACAAGAGGAGTAAAACCTTCAAGATTCTTAGGTGTAAATGAGGCATCATCATCAGAAGAGGAACTAGTTGAATAGTTTTCAAGATTCAGAGAGCTGGCAGGATGTCCTTGAGTATCCTCAGTTTCTGTCAAATCTTGCTTGGTCACTGAGCCATCAATTTCCTTTTCCTCAATGTTTATGGGATCTTTGGCAGTCAGTTCACTCTTGACTGCATCTGTGCTAGAGTCACTCTCTATCTGAAGTGAAACATTAGTTGTGCATGTTTTGTCTTCAGAATCATCAAGCTTTACTTCACTTTGAGAATCGTCTATCAGAACATCTCCGTCAGTTTTATCTTTCTGCAGCGAACTAACATTAAATGATTCAAGAGGGTTGCTGTTTTTATCATTTGTTTCTTCTGTGCCATTATCCGTTGTTTCATTCAGATCACTTGCATCGGTCTTTGGTTCTCTCTCTTCTTCTATTACTCCAAGGTCACTCGTTGGCCCAATTGTTTTCACATCTTTGTTGAGAATTGGTGAAGACTCCATGGAAGCAACAAGTTCTCCTGCAGCCTCGAGGATTCTCTCTCGAGCACGAAGTGTGTCTTCTGAAGCCTAGATGGAAAGGGGTCATCGGGTTAATATAAAGATTTTAGAAAAGTCATTTATAATCCTGTGACCAAATTAATCACAGAACTAATTACATAGTCTGTTTGATTATAATGGAGATAACATTACCAACGTAAATTAAGGACATCTCTCTCTATTTTATCTTGGTAAGAAAAAGCTGGATGTCTTCAGTGCTCAATAACCAATTTTGTTATGGTGTTAACTTTGGATTGCATCACCAACTTGAAATAACTCGTCTAAAGATAAAACTGAAGTCTACCCTAAACATAACACTCCCAACACCAATTACATTATTCAAATAGTAATTGGAGATCGATTAAGCCACTGCTGGAAATAATACAAAATATGGGGATACAGATTCTGACCAAATCTGTAAAGATATGGAAGAGATAATCCAAAGAACATTCAAGGAGATACCCTTAACTGGCTGCTAAGGATTCCCTACTCTACTCCACCTCAATATGCATAAAATGGAAAGCAGAGGCATGAAAAGTCCATTGATGATTGCTGCCATTTAAGTGTTGCACAAGTCAAAGGTTTATGAGCTCGTGAGGTATACAAAATCCAAGGAGAGTTTAGGACAGTAAATATACCCATGAAGACAGAATGTTGCTTATTCATCAAAAATGCAACAGGGGGCTGCTAGCTGAGGAAGACTGCTTAAAGACGACCTCTTGTATATGAAGGACTTTATAACAAATCACTAATGATAAGGATAATTGATATTCAGGCAATTTGGCCAAGGATAGCCTACAAAACCATCTGGTGTTCCCAGGCCATCACCCATCCAAGTATTAACCAGACCCAACATTGCTTAACTTCACTGATTGGATAAGAAGCAGTGTTCTCAACATGTTTAGAAGAAGATCAAGAACCAGATGCTGTACAGTACTGTATACTCCTTATGGAAGTAGAACTCTTGCTTTTGGTAATTGGTGGTAGAACAATAGAACTAGAGATTTGTTTCTTCTTTTTCACACAACAGATACAAATTTTTAAAATTAATATTGATCCATGGGTCTCATGCTCTTGCTTATTACTAAAGACCAATCAGTATCCCTCACCCTATAAAATAATTATTTTACCCCTGTATTATATATTTATTCTTATAAACATGAATCACACATACCTGACGTTCCTCGGGGGACATGTTTTGGTAAGCAGTATACATAGGGTTCTCATGCTGCCCTTCTACTTGATCTCCAGCAGGAACTTGAATATTTTCATTGATTGCGGATGATAGGCCCGCTCCTGCTAGAGACTGTCAAAGACGATAATTTTATAATTACAATATCAAGGTAATAAATACAGTATAAGCAATGCTTTTATATACAGTACATTAAGGAGAGGAATCACTTTTACAAAATACAAATCAAAATAAAAGTAAGATATTAGATTACTGAGTGTGCACACAAACACACACCGAGTAAACCATCACAATATTCAAATTTAGTGTTTTAAAATTTAGTTTATTTCAGACACTGAAGATTTTGGAAAAAAATTATAATTTAGAACAAGTCCAAATTCTTGAATGTGTGGTACAAAATTATGATGACCCACATGGTGAATTTTCAAATGAGAAATGTATGAAGAATTGTCTCCTGCCCAACCTTTAATTGGCCTTAGTGAAGTCCTTACCCACATGATGTTGGGATGGTTGCCTGCTGGGCACCCGCCATTCACATCCCTAGTTTGGTCAACATATCATCTTCATGTAATCTCTTCCCAGCCACAAATTGTACTAGTCACTCTTTATTTGTGATTGTCTGGTATTTTTTTTGTGCTCTAGCAAAGGTTTCCAATATTGGTTCTGAGGTTTGCTGTATCTCCATACAGCCAACACATTGTAGGTGTGGGGCTTTGTCGGAGGCTGACTATTAATTGATGAGAAGCATGGGTAGACACATGTGTTTGCCAAACCCAGTTGACTCTCATAGATGAGGCATCACTTGGCATGACACTCAATGGAGAGACACTTACACAGTGGCAAAACAATTAATGAGTCTATTAACATACACTGCAGTCTAGCAGCTAAAGAAGGCCTTTATGCTTTTGACCGTATGATAATTATTTTATATTTATCAAATTTTTTGCACATTCTGCATGAACGATTGTGTGTGCATGTAACAGTATATAAAAAACAAATTATTATGTTTATCTACCTGAAATTGCAAGTTGAAAAATAACAATAATGCAGCTCACAGCTTGGCCTGGTAGTGGGGGGGGGGGGAGCTGAGATCCCCTCCCACGATCCACACTAACTCCCGGGGATGTATGAAATTTTTATTTTCTTTATGTTTTGACCTCATTATAATCATTTCCTTTAATTAATTTTATTTTTTTTGCACACAATGAAATATTTTAAAGCATTAACAGAGTTTAAAAAATGAAGAAAATTATGTATGTTTACCCTAAACTACTTAATGAGAGCTGAGAGATAGCAACTTACTACCGTACTGTTCACGTACATATCCTGTAAATAATTTAAAGTAAATCTTTATTTTGTATAGATTTATTGTTTTTATGTACAGGTATTTATAAATTACATGAGTTACTGTATTAGACATTATTTACTCATTATAAAAGCAGGATATAAAACTAGTTTGGGCTCTTCAAGGTCTCAGGAATGGAATCTTTTTTCCCCATATGATATTAATATCGATATACGACCTATCACTTAACGTTGGCTTATTGAGGTCCCCAAGCCCATCGTATAAAGGTCAACACGTGTTTTGTGTTTTATTCTGCACCATATATTGCAAACCTAGTTGTAGGAAACACTTTAAAATCAACCAATAACTGTAATGTATCATTATTACTCACTGCCATGGACTGGTTGAAAATAGGGTTGAAGAATCTTAAGCCACCTTCTCTGTTGTAGGTAAAAATACTGGATGTTGTTGAGGCTCGTCGTCCTCCTACCATATCACTGGCCACTGACACACGACGGCTACTGCTCTCAAGACGTCGGAACATGAACGAGAATCGAGACGTTGCCCTGAGCAGAAACATATTTATTATCTAATATATCTTTTGAAAACTGAATGAATACAGAGTTATGATAAGAAGAAGAGACAAACTGATTATAGTAGATGATAGTGGCACACAATATGATCCAATACCCTGTATTGTACATGTAACATTAAATTTGGTGACTTAAATTATTAAACTGAGGACATTAAAAAAAAATATCTTTTATATTAATTGCCGACATATTGTACACTTGCTCCAAAAAGTCTATTTACTATTTTATGTAAGACAAAAGGCACAACGGACAAAGGATTCTGACAACCCTCCCGAGACATACAAGTATATCTCTCATAGCACTCTACACACACAAATATTTATGGGTTTTGTTATCACATGCAGAAATTTAAGATTATAAGTTCAAAAGAATGTAATGGTTTGGATAGCTTATTCTTGCCAAACTGTGGGAAACATGGCAGTAGTCACTGGCCCTAATACAGTAGAGTGGACAGAGAATATTTGAAACCTTTGATCACTAGCCATTTGTAAGTATTTTGGTAACGTACACTACCTGCGCTTCCTCAGGTGATAGACAGCAGCACCAATAGCAAAGCAGATGGCAAGAGTGATGAGGATGGCAACTATAACCCCTATATTGTGTGGGGCTACACTCCTATTAGACTCTTTAGGAATGATGTTTCCAGAGTACGCCACTAACGCTTCATATGAACTTCCCGCGTTCAGCTCTGTAAAACATAACTGAAATCAATATTACAAAACTAATGCTTTTGAGGGGGGCTGTTGAAAATCATAATTTTTTTTTTATAACATTGCAGTTTTAAATGGTGTAGTAACTAACAAATAAAGTAGAAATAGGTTTACCAATGATAAACTGTAAAATGTACAAGTCTACATTAATGTTCCACCTCCTTTTCTACTATGATGTGTGTACAGTGACCCCTCGATTAATGAATGCCTCGGTTAACGAAATTTCAGTTAAAGAATTACCTTCCATAAGAATATTCAATTCGGTTAACGAAAAAAATTCGGTTAACAAATTCCTTACAAATTTTTCCCAACATGTTTTCGCCTGCTTTCGCCTGCTCACCAGCTGCAGTATTAGTCCGCCAATACAGTACTGTAATCGGTTTTAGGGCTTAAATTCGTTACCAGTTGAGTAAATATCAAGAAGGTTGTACTATTCAATAATTTTCCAAGTCTTACATAAAATTTTTTAGTCATTTTAACAATTATTTAACATAATTGAAGTACAGGGAACAAGTTTTTAGTGCGCCAAACAGCCACATGACTCACCCAGAATGGCCTCAGTTTGTGTCTCTGTTCAGTGGAGGTAACATCTTGTTTGAGACTCTCTTGAACATAAACTATTTTTACGTTTTTACAGTACAATTATTGGTCATTCTGAAGTTTATTTTACATAGTATTAACAATATATAATGCAGTGCAGTGTTGATTTAAAGAAAATAATCTTGAATTACACCAAGTGAACTAAAATTTTATGGGTGAAATGGCGGCATGAAGCATGGGGTGACTTCTCTTCCACCCCAATGCCTTCTCTTCTCCCTTCTCCTCCACCCCCACTTCTAATTCCCATCATCATCATCATCATCATCAACAACAACAACAACCAGGAGCCTTCTACATGCACACCTCAAAGTAAGTGTACTTTACTGCATTTATTTTTAGTTTGTATGTAATTTTCGGTGAACTGGAACCAATTACCTGAAATTCCATTGAAACATGGTTTCGGTTAACGAAATTTTCGGTTAACAAACGACCTTCTGGAACGAATTGTGTTCGTTAACCGAGGGACCACTGTATTATTATATTTCTAAAGGTTTTTAATTTTCCTAAATTAACAACTCTGCGTGAAAGTTTATTCCAATGATCTACAGATCGACTTTTAAGAGGTATTTTGTCATTTAATCAAGAGTATACTTGTTATTTTTAACTTTTCTATTCTATAGCCATTGAAAAGTTCCTTTTCTCTTTTTCCTCCATGTCCTTATATTCAATTCTGCTTCTATAATAACATTACTTACCGGGTGTGAAAATAATGTAACCAATCTTAAAAGGAGGTACAGTACAGTACTGGTAAATTTACTCTGTACACACACATGATCAGATTCAACATACCTTGATCGAATTTTTTCTTAAAACTCTCTGCTGCAAGTTTGTAGTCCCCTTTTTCATTGACAGCAGTGAAGTAAACGTGATGAAATCCATCATCCATTTTTGCAGCATATGCTGAGACATGTTGGAGGGCAGGAGTCTTAAGGTGGTCCGCCAAGAGAGCTGACAAACTAGCAAGAGGTAATGTTCCACTGTGGCTAATTGTCACTTCAGCTCCTGTAGAGAAATTATAATAACAGCAAATGTATTGCTTGCACTATAAGGAGCAACTGAGTATCATTACAGAAAAACTTTGACCAGCACAATAGTACCTTTTGTATGTTACTAACGACATGGACAATTATTTATGTGTTCAGTTACTATTTGTATTGTACTCTCTATAAATATGTGTATGATCACTATTGAGGACATGCATGTGGTTAATCATAATACAAATCGTAAATGAATTGCATCATAACTAACCTAACCTAATTTAAGTACAGTATGCAGGGTAGTTTAGTTATGATAGAAATGATGTCTAAATGTAACAGACCAAATTTTACCATGTACTGTATAAACTAATTTTCATATACAGTACTGTAGTTGTAAAAAAAAAGGAGTGGTATGATCAATGTACTGTACTGAACAGAGATAGAGTGAGGAAGGGGAGTAGCGTACATAATACAGTAGCAGAAAAAAAAATGCCAAAGCAGATGGTCACTCTTGTGTCCCAATTTTAGCTTTTAGTAATTATTCAGTATTACTACCTACTCGATTTCAACACGGAAGCATAGTTTTGTGGTGTTTTCTTCGAATCTGACCTTCATTTTCTTGGGAAGAAATAATGATTTTTCCAAGAAAATGAAAGTAACATTCAAAGAAAATAAACCAAAAGAATATGTTTTTGTGTCGACAACTTAAGAGGATGCATGGGGGGAAATCTTTTTTTTGGGGGGCAAACATTTTTTCAATATTCATCGACATGTACTAAACTTACCCTTACCTTACTTTAACTATTTAATCTATCTTAGACCTAGCACCATGTTTCCTATCCAGGGGGGCTTTGTGAAATGGGCATCAGTTATTGGTTAGTTCCTATTTGCCTAGCAGTGGTTCGTCAACACCCGGAGGAATTGGTATTTTTTTATTCCTGATTACTTTTTATTGTTGTTATTTCCTCCAAAATAATGACTTACCGTGGATATTGCAGGTTAGTTTAAAGCATATCAGCGGGAAGAAAATCCTATTTCTTTCTAAAATGAGTAGGCAGTAATAATGAATAATTACCAAGCTTTCTAGCACAAAAAAGTATTGGGGACATTGCCTGAACAAGCAAGCAAGAAAAAAAAACATGGAAGAACCACCAAGTACCTACCTGATGCACTTCATACAGTGCCAAGAGACAGATGGAGGAGAGAGAGGTGAGTGACAGCCCTCTTCTCTATAACTGTACATATGCACTGTGTGTGTGTGTGTGTGTACAATTATCTCTACTGTACTATTATCCCTACAGTATTTACCATGATCCCCCCCAACCCAGCCTGTTGTCTGCTGTACCTTTTTAATAAATCATTAATAATTATTATATAACTATTCTACTGATAGATAATACCAGCTGTGTATTTATTGACTACACTCCCAGGGTTCTTTTGGCCTAATACAACAGTAAGGTTTACAAATTTATGGGAATATAGCACAGTAGTCATCTCAGTTATGCTATCTATAAACATACAGTAATGTAGAAGATCTTATTTAAATATCAATAACTTAATATAGCTATTTCCGACAAACAAAGGCACATAGACTTACCACACACAGGACAGCAAAAGCCTGTCATCTGTATTGGTTTGTTGCACTGAGGACTTAAGCACTTGGCAGACATTATGCCACAGATGATGGAGGCAGCACTCTCAGTGCCACATAGACAACCTGTCACATCTCTACATTCTTCAGGGCTTTCTACATATAAGGGAGCACCATCACTACTTGAAGCCCCAGTGAACATGAAGTTTCCCTCACTGGTCAAGGTGTATGTAGCAAATTCTGAAGTGGTGTAATTCTGCCAAAGAGAGTTATGTCACCTTTACTGTTATCCCCCCATTATAAAACATGAGGGGATCAACACAGTGATATCCTTGTTCATCCATCTGAAATGTTTTCATACAGTAATTTGAGTAAGACTTCCCAAATCGAAATTTATTAAGTTTGGCTTGTTTGTTAATATTGTTAAATAACTTTGACAGGGATTACAATCATGTGATTGTAGATGAGTGCCACTTACCCTGGGGGGCCTTTCAATCTTTCAAGGCGGGGAGGAACAAAGGATTGAACATATTTCTGACTCAAAATATGTATTCTCAATTAAATAAATTTGTAGTTCAAAAATTGGCGTGGCTGAGTGGGGAAGGGAAAACTTGCCATTTAATAATCTCAAACTTAACTTCATGTATTATTGCCAGAGATGTCACTATTTCAGGGGCTTCCCACGAGGATAATATAAAATTTTTTGGAGATAAAAAGGTGATAGAAAGACGAACATAAAAAATGAGATGCAAACCAATATGTAGCAGTGTTTGAACAAGTTTCAGAGCTGTAGTTCTGCTTGGGTGTTGCTAATTTATTTTAAGCACTTCCAGAATAGCTACAGGTATATGGTGGATCAGTCAATTCAACCCCTAGTCAATCCAAACCCTGTCAACTCAATTCCCTGTCAATTCAATCCCCATCAACTCAATACCCTGTCAACCAAGCTTTTGTTTGTTTATTTGGATCTGAAGAGGCAATAAAGGCAGTGCAGCTGGAACTTGAATTTTTTTTATTCTTAACCCATTGTGGATGCAGTTCCAAAAGGGTTAAGAACCACTGGTCTAGGTTAACAAATACAAGACATGAAAAACAAGTAAGATTTTTATTATCTGAAATATTGACACATGCACTATCAGTTACAGTCTCTCCTCGACTAACGACGGGGTTCCGTCTCAACGACCAGGTCGTAAGTCGAAAAGGCGAAAATAATACATAGAAATTATAAAATGGGTGTCTCTTTTTCTTCTCAGCACCACGAGAACTCTCACTTTTACACTTGCCAGCCATTTTAAAGGGAATTACAAACGAAAATTTTGTCAGTACACAGCGCGATCACTAACATCGGGACTCGAAAATACGTGATGTGAAAAATATTTTATACGATCATGGCCTTCCTATGTCCGGGTTATCATAAGTCGAATATGTCGTAAGTCGAGGAGAGACTGTATTTATATTACACATTTACTGATTACTTACACACACACACACACCTTTTTGCCTATGGAGAGGCTGGTAACTGAGATGGTTGGCGGTGAGAGGTGGACAGTATACAGAGACTCTTCGGGGTTGGTGAAGACTGCACCATCTCTGGTACAGGGAATCCGGTGCGTGTGTGGAATAGGAGACGTAGACGGGTCTTTGAAGGACGGGTGCTCCCAAGCATCAGGGTCCCACCATTTGTCTTGACCGTGATGCGTCCAGGTCGCATCTGTATTTCGAGGGCAGTGGAAGCAAATGTTTTAAGATGTGGCCATTTCAAAAGTCATAAATTATAATCATTTTGGATACTAAAACTGGTACATGATTCATGTATTGTAATCTCTAATGCTGTTGATAATGCTGAACTACATCGTAGAATCTTTTTTATTTACAATCACAAATTTTCAAGACTTTCTTATATTACGGAACACACCATGCTAAATATTCCACAGCAATAGGAAAGAACAAATGCACCCCCTCTCCCCATCCTCGATTCAAAGTTGAGCATCTACCATAGTGGTACTATATAAATTATCCCAAATTTTGAGAGGCAAAGCAATTATACCTAAAACAGTACAGTACTGTATTTGGAGCAAAGTACATTAAGTACAGTACTTACTCCTATCATTAAATTAATGAAACCAAAAAGAATGTTTTTCTCGCATACAACAGTCAATTATACAACAGTTTAGTTTTAGTTAATGAACTGTAGTGAATAGGTTTATTTTCTCCCTAGTCAGCACACCCAATGATGTCTTCTTGATAATTGTCCGGATGTTTCTTGTGTGTCTCCAGTGTCTTCACCCTACTCGTTTGTATTATAGGCCTAAGTGATTATGTAATGTCTTATGTGATAGAAGACCTCTAAGTTCTGTAACTGTATATTATATTGTATTGTACAGTATCCCAGTAAATATCTTGTTTTGTTTTGTACATTGCAATCTGAGATCCAAAGGTCTACACCTACGGGGTATGTACTCAATTCTATGCAATATCCTCCGTATTATTAATAGTGTAATGTTGTTACTCACCCACAAACACACACTCATGTACAACAAGTCAGTAGGATATAAGAATTTAAGTGGTGGGTGCATATTCTGACACCAATAATTTGCACTACACCTTGACAGTTGTCTTTGGTGGAAGTGTCAAGCATCATATTGGCACCATCACCGAAGATTACTTCACCATCGAGGGATAATTCCAGTGACCCCAACGTGAGGTCGTCCCCAAGGAACATCTGCAGTATATAATAACATTATCTTCATCTGTTGGTCCTTTGTTATGCAGAGATGATGAACATTAGGAGTCAGTCTCTAAGCCTGGGAGTAAGACATATCTGTAGTACTGGTATTAAAAGCTGACAGTAAAATAGCGGTGAAAATTATCCTCAAGGACAGTGAGAAGGGTGAGACGGCAAACAGCATTATGAAGATAGACTGAGACGATATAACGTAATCAAAATAATTATAGCAGGTATGCTACAGTAGTCTAATGTGAACATTAAAAGTTAAAAGAGATGATTATGACAAGATATTTGCAACTTTCCATGCATGTCATAAAGTACTGCATTTCTGTATATCCAGTAATTAATGTAATATATATCAAATGCAATGTATATACATAGTAAGCCAGTTAACATGTACATAGGAAGTATTACCGGAGACCTCTGATAGAGGGGGAGGATGGCAGCCTTTCCAGCACAGGGAAGATGTCCATTCTTCCAGTTGTTTGGGGAGTTGAGGTCCCACGTCTGCACCCACCGCTTCTGAACTGCCTCACTCATCCCAGCTGTAATGGTCATGATAAGAGCTAACCTGAAAACCTTAAGGATTCATATTACGCTCAAACGTCCACAAAACCCTTTGAGTCTCCCAGTGGAAACGTCCTCCGTTTTCTCGGTTCCTTGATGACGTCATCGATGAGCAGCCTTTGTCTATGGGAGCAGACGCTGTATGCTGGGACCTGTTGCCATCCAACCCTTTGTAATCAATTTAATTTTGCTTTTGATAGCTGAGTCAGAGCATTGTTAGTGAAGATAATAGTAGAGAATGAAAATGAGTTCATAGTCTCAATTTCAACGTCAGAGTGTACCGTAAATTAATTCATCGGAATAGGAGTAGGTGGACTCCCTGGCCTAGTTTGAGTGAGGGCGCCGCGGGCATTTCTACCGTTAGTGAGTGCCCGTCCCTTCATCCATACAGGTATGCCATTCCACGCTGTGTTGTAATTTGCCCTTCTTTAAGTGATTTGACCCAATTAATAGTTGCTTGTGCAAGTGTTACAGTAACGTAGTTGATATGCTCTGAGTAAAGTCATATTTACGTCTTTAACGTCCCCTGAAACGTGATGTTGTTGTCACCGGTTAGTAAGTGCCCGTCCCTTCATCCATACAGGTCCCTAACGCAGCCTCGGCCGTGTCTGTAGGGTGGATGTTGTATCCACAATGTCTGGGGAGATGTCCGAGGTCCAGTAGGATCAGTTACCTTCGTGAGACCCGGCCGTCAGACACTTCAGACTACCTATAGCCCCCATAGCTGGCTCGTCTGGCCCTAACGCTCGGTCCACGAGGTGACGCCGGATCACCAAGCCCCACACCACTACCAGCCCCCATCATTGGTGGATGAGTGTCTAACTCAGTAGGGCTATTTGTGTGGTGGAATTAATCCACTGGGATCTCCAGAGTTCGTCGGAAAGTACTCCATGGTGGCTGGACCCCATGGCTGTTGCTTGAGTATCACACCTGACGACTGAGTGTTGTAGTGGCAGTTGCCCTAGTATTTATGGTGCTAAGTGACTATAATAGTTGTGTTATTGAGTATGTCCACCCAGTAGGGTTGGAAGTGTTATTGAATATGTCCACCCAGTAATGGTGTGAGTATGTTGAGCCTGAGGGCCTAGTACTAGATTTCGTCTGTTAGTACAAATAAATTCTTTATGCTAATTTCATATTCATGTTTAAATAAACTTTGTATTTGTATAATTGTGTCTATTATTTACCTACAGTATTTACCGTTATTTCTTCCCTATTGCTTGATACTATCATTACACCTACCCACGAGCCTCCTATAGTCACGCTACCAATGGTGATAAATATAAGAGTAAAAGGAATTGTTACTGGCAAACAGAAGCCCTCATAAATGGTGGCAGTAGAAGCCCTCATACTGCCACCAATGATATCAAAACTACAATCATCCGACATGTTGCATATCTTATTGTGAGGTGAGTTTTACAAGTTTTAGCAAAAATATTGTGAAGAATATGTTGAGACCAACCACAGAATTTTATGCAGGGTATTGATGTTTATATACAAGTGGATATAGTGAAATAGAGCAAAAAATAAGTACAGTGAGTTCTGCTATAACGCGTGTTTTGACAACGCGAATTGGCTCTAACTCAATTGATGAATAGAGGAACAATATTTGTAAAACGCGAACTCATTGGCTGTAACGGGATTGCAATCGAACGGTTGTTGTGGCTTGGCGCGGGGTTATGCAGTGTTTACAGTTCATGTTCGACATCACATGTTCAATTGAGTTATGTGTTTTGTTTGTGAAGAATTGCAGAAATAATTTTTGTATTATTTATGAATACAGTATACCTGTACAGTATATGTAAATTTTAAAATTTTAAATAAAAGAGAAAAACAAATTACGTAGCGTTTTACACCCGCGCTCTGTTTACATCACACATAGTGTTTACAGTTCACGTTCGACATCACATGTTCAATTGATTTATGTGTTTTGTTTGTGAAGAATTGCAGAAATAATTTATGTAATATTTATGGGTATTATTGCGTTTACACATCGTTCATTCCTACCACTAATCTATTATCATATTTGAATAAGACGTCTAATTATAAGATAATTTTCATCTATTACATTACCGGCGGAAATGTATGGTAACGGTGATAGGATTTCAAAAAAAATTTCTCTTTTCTTCCATTAACCTCCCGCCATTATCGTCTGCCCCTCACCCAACAATGCGTGTCTCTCGCGTCTCCTTCATAAATCATGACGCACATGCGTACCCGTACCCGTACATGTCATGCGGCCAATCAAAAGCGTTTTTGCTTTTGGAACCAATTAAAATGGTTTTGGGTTTAATTCAGAGTATATTTGGCCCAATCAAAATCGAGTTTTATTTTGGGTCTCATATTTTGAAATTCAAGTTCAGTTCCGACCATGGAAGTCTGCGATGGATGTCACTTAAAGTATATCGAGCTGATTGCGAGTTTTTGGGAAAAAAACGTAGAAACTAGAGCATTTTTTCGATCGCATGGTGTTCTTCCAACCTCAGTAAAGTGTACTAAGAGCAAGACTGAATGTAAATATCGCAAAGACCAACATATGTGGCGTTGTGTAAGAATCCCAGAATGCAACGACGAACAAGAACCAGGCCAATAAGGTAAGAAATAGGTGATCCCATCATATGGTGAGAGTCAGTTAAGTTAGGTTAGGTTAGGTTTTCTTTTTTAGTTTTTTTTTTTAGTCGCTTAGCCACTTCTTTTACGGAAAACGTCAAACGAAAAAATCGCTAAAAAACGGCTAATTTCCGCCAAAAATGAAGGTCATATTCGGTCTAAACACACACAAATACACTAGAAAAATATATTTTTTACTTGCTAAAAGTGAACGGTGAGACAATGCAAATTTACCTATTTATGTGTGTTTGATGTAAATAGAGCGCTTGGCCTCTCTCTCAATGGATGGAATTCGTGGTTTACAGTGAGTGATACGAATGTCGTAACATTACTAGGCTGAAGGCGCCTGAATACTACTTAAACACATCAAAACTAAGTTAATTGAATCACTGTATAATAAATTCATTCACTCATAACTTCAAATTCCCTTATCATCCTATGTTATATACAGAAATACTTGAGTCCCTGAGTGAGTACACAAAAAGAAAACGGAGGACTAAGACATCCTGAAGTGGATAGAGAACGGACATCTCTACTGGGGGACTCAAACGTTTCTCATGTTTTGTGGGAGCTGTAGCATAATATGAATAATAGGTAAATAAAAGAGAAAAACTAAATACGTAGCGTTTAAGGAGGTGTACTGTACAGTGTTGGCGTGGGGTTATGCAGTGTTTATAGTTCACGCTCGACATCACATGTTCAATTGATTTATGTGTTTTGTTTGTGAAGAATTGCAGAAATAATTTATGTAATATTTATGTATACAGTATACCCGCACAGTATATGTAAGTTGTAAAATTTTAAATAAGAGAGAAAAACAAAATACGTAGCGTTTTAGACCCTCGCTGAAACACCTGGGAAGTTTTTAAGCGTCCTCAGTGATTTTTTATTACTATTTCTACAATTTTGTGACTATGGAAAAGAAGAATATATCCGGGAAGCGTTCTGGTGATCGTAAAAGAAAGGCTATAACACTTGAAGAAAAGCTTGATGTTGTCAAGCGTTTTGAAAATAAGGAAAGAACATGTGATATTGTGTGTGCAACGGGAATAAAGGAGTCTACTTTACGCACCATTAGAGACAATGCAGCAAAGCTTAAAGCAAGCTGTATTGCTTGAAAAACCTTGAGTGCTAGCAAAAGTGTGAGATCACGGCCAAAGGAACTTGAGGAGATGGAATGGCTTCTAAGTGTTTGGATAGAAGATCAAACGAAAAAGCGATCTGGGACCAAGTTATATTCATATTTTTTCAAGGTAAAGTGTAACATTTACTGTATGATTTCATTATTAGATATGAATGTAACATTTATTTAGGCTGTACTATCCTTTGTATTAGGCTAACTACTAAATTTTTTTTCGATTTCAAGTAATCTGCACCTAACCCTATTTTCTCCATAAGTCCTGTTATTTCTGTTGCGCGAATTTGTAGAACGCGAGGTTTTACAGGAACACAACTATTGCGTTATAGCAGAGCTGACTGTAGTAGTTCGCGGGATTCAGTACATTTGTTGGTAGTAGGAAAAAAGGCACGGAAAAAACCTAACCTAACTTAACCAAACCTACGTGTAATGCCATCATATATATATTGTATTGTTAATGTGTACAAGTCATGTGACTTTTTTCCCTGTGGACTTTATTTCCGTCCACCCATTTGTTTACCTCTTACGTACATGACTAAAACTTGCTAATCAGCAGAAGTCACGCGAAACTACTGTGTGTGCTCATTCTTTTGATTATAATATAGTTTTGAATCTGTCTTGGTTAGTTGCAAGATGGCTTCTCTGTACGAAATGTGGCATTTTTAAGATTGGCAGACCATTCAAGGTGTTTTTGTTATTAACGCTACTGTTATTAACATTGTCAAGGCTTGTGGTGTTTTGTAAATTTCCATAAAGTGTCTAAATTCTGGTGCAGGCTGCCATTATCGTGAGGTTAAAATTGTCTTTTTTTTTGTGAAACGATGCAAATTCGCCAAGCCAAAAGTAAGGTTAGGTTAAGTTGGGTTTCATTGGGTATTTAAAAAAACCCAGCAGTGCCGACCTGTGTTCCCAGATTTACCATACTTTTATGCTTTTAACTTATTTTCGACCCAATATTACAGCTTAGCATATTTTTTAGCATAAATCTGACATAATTTAGTTTAATCTGGAATATTATAATGAAGGTAGCCATAGAAGTAGCATAGCTTCAGTTTGATATCATCAATGCATTGGCGGCACTGTGGCTGGCTAGGGAGAGAGAGGGTTGGAGGGAGGGAGTTGTTGTGAACCTGAAAAAAAAATGCTATAGGCTTAACATGCCTCTCTTTGTAATGAATTAATAAGTTGTGAAGGAATAAAGGTGAGTGGAGACTGTTTAAGCCTTGAGCCTTCTGTGTCACTGCTGAAGTCAATGGGCAAAGATGTATCAGAAATAATACAAGGTGCTCCTATAGTGTGTGTTCATCCACTTGAAAGGTATGGAGATATTCCTTTAATATAATTAACCCACATTTAATTTTATAGTCAACCATTTAAAAAATAAATAAATGAGCAGATGCCAATTGTGTTATACAGGAAGTAGAGATTATCACCAGAGTGGTCATATTTCTTTTTATATCTAATATTGTGTTATGATTCATATTTCTGAAATATAATGGGTTTAAGCCTATATTAATAGGTATTTTTTTACTGTGATCACATGCTATGTGATTTAATGTAATAGTGTGATTTACTTTTTTCATATAATAGAATTATGAATCGATTTTGTTACATTGACTTTGCGTTTATGCTGCCAAAGAGTAGCTAATTTCCGTTGAATTCCCTTTTTTATTCATGGTGTATTTGAAATATGATAAAGTATAAAGATTTTTTTCAATAAAGAGTAACATGAACAAAAGAGCTAGTGAGAAAGGCACAATTCTAGCATAAGTTGTGAAAATTCTAGTACTGTATAATTGTGCTACTTGTAGCATAATTTTGTAGCAAGTCTAGTAATTTTTCTTGAGAAATCTGGCACCACTGCTGCCGGTGAATCCCGCCATTTTCAGTTTCGCCACAGCATGTGAAGGATGTTGTTAGTCTTATATGGACATTATTTGTGAATTCAGGGCGAAAGGCGGCCTCACCCTCCAGTTTTTTACAGCACGGCATCCTTACACTGTCTCATTAACAGTAAGTTCGCCTTCGGTAAGTGTTAGTTTAGGTTGACTATAAATAACCCCATTTTAACACATTTGTCCAAAATACGAGTGTCCACTGTAAAACAGTGAAATTGCGACATTTTAAAATTAATTTTCTATGAAAATTCGGCTGTATTTATTGACGACACGTCAGTAATTACGGCGATGTGTTAAAAGGGTGCATTTCACGCAATAACAAAGTAGAGAATAACAATGCGATATTGGAACAATAACCACTTTGAATTAGAGACAATTCCGCTGTATGTTATTGGTATACCAAACTTATTGCCCTAATGTTCCAATATCGCAACGAACCATTTTGTTTAGCAAAAAGTAAGAGGATATCGGAACATTAACGAATTGAATGATACCTAGAATAACTAGAGCAACCACGTCGATAACAGACTACGATTTCGCAAAATTAACATGTAACTTTCTTAAAAAAAAGTCTTAGTGGCGATCCTCTCCTATCCTTTACTGAAATAAATAATACTTTACCTATGAAAAGGAGCAGGCTGAGTATTGCCGGAGCCAACATCATCTCTGCGCTTCTGCCGCCGAACTGACTTACGTAGTCACGACTCGCGTCACAAAATCACGTGACTCAACTCAATGCCTGCTAGTGCCAGCATACTCCCTCTCCCTGCCCATAAGGCTTCAACCCTGTTTTATTTTATATATATATATATATATAAAGTATTCGTATTTTTTTCCTCACACTCAACAACTAATAACTGTGAGTTTATTGATGTGAGCTTCATTTTACGTATAATACAGTATACTTGATAGAATATCACTAATAACCGGGCGTCAGCTGTAACTGGTCTGTTGACACCCAATGCCGCCCCGCCCCCGCACCGGGCACTCGAGTTCGGGTGTCACACGATATTGTAAAGGTAGAGGTCGTGAGGCAACATTCACCGCGCTGCTCCCTTTTACCAGCGCCTAAGCTAGTTATTCTAAGGACTTGATGTGTAAAACAAGAGCTGTCTTATCTCTAGAATAAACTATGCACAACTCAGGATTTGCTTTACGTACATTTTCTCAGGGTTTTCATCTTGGAAAACACGCAGTTCAGCAGTCACCTAGCTTGATGTTAGTAGAGTTGCCAGTGATTACGATGTTTTCAAACAAGATTTCAAGTTTGTTAGATTATTTTCAAGGATTGGTAAAAAATTTCCAAATTTAAATTTAGGTGGGGAAGAAAACATCTGATTACCCTAGGAAGTAAATTAAATTTGGCCATCAAGGAAAACAAAGAAACGTATAAAGATTATTTTTTATCTGTTTGCAAGTTTGCAATAATTTGGTTATATGAACATTTACCACCTGTTGAGTCCTCACTGTACATTACGTTCAGATATGAACGTGTACAGTATATATTTCAAGATCCTTGCGTATAGGTAGATACTAAAATCGTCATACAAGTTCACAGTGCAGGTATACAAAGTTAAACAGTAGGTGGACTCGATCAAGGATAACCCATTAAAGCCATCATACTTATTCTTGTTTGAAGCCAACCCATCTAGCTAATTGAATTCAACACAAGTTTTCCCAGTATGTGCCTGACGCTACATCGTGCACGAACGACATGATATAGTCATGCAATAGGCAGGAACAACCCTCTCTAGACATCCTGCTAGTAGTATTTAGTTTCTTAATTTAAGTATCCAGTACCTTATGCATTTTAGCACTTCTTCCAAGCTTCAAAAGTTTTTGTTTATTTATACATGAGTGCGGGTAGGGGTAAAACTGGTGGTGAGGGGGAGGAATTCTGAAATTGGTATGGCGAGTATGTACAGTATATGAATGTATGTGTGCGTGTGTGTGTTCCCGTTTTGCCTGTGGATGTGTCAGCGTGTTTTCCCGCATGTGTGTGTGTGTGTGTGCGTTGTGTGGACGGGTCACGGTCCTCCCCGCCAGACCGTTACTTACCTCTTCCACACACGGCCACAGCTGAACGACTCTTTTCTCCCTGTGTCACTGTTGGTGCAGGGACGTTCACTCGTCACCTCAAGTGCCGCCGTCTGTATCTATAGTTTCCGTGTACCTGGACGAACCTCACCTGTTACTCTACCTGACGGCGACACAGGAGAGCAAGACCGTCCTTCATGCTAGCACAGGTGCGGTACTTGAGTTTGATATATACTAATTGAATAATAATTGCAGGTGTTTAGAAGTGATGGAGTAGGGATACCAAGTGATAACTATGGTGTGGTGTTTTAAGAAGTGACAACTAGAACGTGAAGGTGCATAACAAATGATAATTACGACGTAAAGGTGTATAACAAGTGATGAAATACGGTGTGAAGGTGTATAACAGGTGATGCATACGGTGTGAAGGTGTATAACAGGTGATAACTACGGCTTGGGTACGATATAGTGATAACAGTGGTGCGAAAGTGAGAATTAGATAAATACAGTGCTGCTGTGTGGAGAGGGATAACATGATAATTCCGAAATGAGGAGTGATAACTGCATTGTGGCAGTAATATAAGTCATTCATACGCTCTGAAAATGAAATGACACGATAACTTCGGTGTGTTGGTGAGATAAGTGATAAACCGTATTAGCTAACAAAATGTGGCAGTGTTATAAAGTAGACCAGAACATATTGGAAGACTAACACAAAACCACGCCGGAGGTTTTGTGGGTACCTCTGGCTGAAGACTTTTTCACTCACGATGTTCGTTTCAAAACCACATGTGATTCGTTTATCCTTGCCAGCTCCATGATAATTACGTCCGTGTTATACTATGAATATTTGACTTAAAACTCGCATAGAGATGTATTGAAAATATTACTAAGGAGAAGGAAGCTGTTACTCGTATTAATTAGATGTATAGTTCGTTATCAGAGATGTATGATATGTTGCACCTCATATGTCGCCTTGTTTGATGTGATTCAATGTAATACGATGAGCTTATGTTGTAACCTACTGCAGCTTCCCTTCCCTCTTGAGTTGCTGCTTCTTATTTTATCAGCCTGCAGGGCATCATTCTCCCTTCAACACTTTTCTGTGAGATTTAGCAGTATTATTTCGTTAATGTAGCAGGTTATTCAGGTTGTCATAATCAATTTCGACTTAATATCATAAGTTGCTACTTGTCTTCTTAAAATTTTTCGTTTTCATTTTTCTAATCACCTGTGTAATGATTAATGATCCTATGCTGTGAGGAGTGTAGAAGGACATCAGGATTTCAGCAGGATACACACCTCAGCAAGGCTACCAACTGCTGTTAGATCTGGTTGGTACAGGGACACGTAACTGCTAGCTTGAGATCATAATTTATTGGACGACTACAAAATTAGTCAACTGTTGATTGAGTGTGTTGCAGACGTCAGCAACATCAGGTAGTGAGCGAACAAAAATCAGCATTGTCAAGGCATGCAGTGGCGAGAGCAACACAGTAACGGCATCGAGCACCACCACAACCTAACTCAACTTCAGACCTGAACTTGCTCAACCTCTCCATCAAGGTCAAACTCTATCTTCTTCCGCGTAACAATCTTTAGTAAAAAATAATAATCCTCTCCGGAAACTCATAAAAAGTGGATACAAAATTCTAACCGATTGTCAATTCTGTCTGAGAATATACATATAACAATTCTAAAGGTATCATTGTCCCTTTAATTCACATATATTGGTAACTAATTCCTCGAAAGCGGATTTGAAATGATATGTGAGCTATGACGATGTACAAAAATGTAAACTATTATGCAAGTGACAGTTTACTCAGTTACTTCCGTCGGCTGAAGACTGTCCAAGGATTGCTGCCGAGAACTAAAGCATAACGGGAACGGACCGCTGAACGAAGACAAGGGGCGGTACTTGAGAGACCGCGAGAGTGGAGATGAGGAAGTTGTGCTTTCATGTCCTCTTCTGTTTACCGTTTGAAATTCCTTGTTCTCTTTAGCCTTATTTATTCTCACAACATGGTACATAAATAACTGTTTTACTCATTTCTTCACTATTATAACTTTTGTAATTTACATACAGACCCGATTCATTTAATTTGCATTATTTTTTCATACAGCTCATCTTTAAAGAACAAAAAGCCAACCGATTCTTCCTGTATTTATGTACTCCAGAAAAAATAAAAACTGATTCTGAGAGCATAAAACGTAAATATTGTTTTATCTTCTCACTCACTAATATTTTCGACGGAGCCTGTTATCACACTTCTAAATCAATTTCTAATAAAGATTCACTCCTTTCCAGAGGAAATATATACCAATATATTTCAAATAGGAAGACTAATGCATCCATTAATTTCAGAAGCAGCATCATGCACTGAAGACATTTCTCCGAGGACCTTTTCACTAGGGTCATTTCTACACCACCAGGTCATATCAAGTCATCTCTACACTACCAAATAACGTCAACACCACCAGCAAGTTACTCAACATTACCAAGTCTCTTTGACGCTGATTCAAAGTAAACGCAAGTCTTATTTCCACGAATTGCTGAACAACGTTTTTGTGTGATTGTGGTACTAACCGAAGACGCTTCACGGATCAGCTATACTTCTGACAGACCTATACTACCATGGGTCCAGATTCAACTCTTCTCGTCTACCTTATTATAACTGGTAACGTTGGTGTTATATCGCCTTGTTTTATAAAGTCGTCATTTGTTTGTTCGTAAGCCGGAGCGTTTGAGAAGAACGAAGGAAAATGAGGATTTGAGAGGAACTAAATTACTCTAGTAAACGCCTCATCGTAGCATAAAAACAAGTGACAAATGTTGAAGTTTTATTTACAAATGTGGGTGACAGGATATTGAATGGGACTGAAGGTAAACATAAAGTGTCAAAATTACTGTAAAGATAAATGAAAACTAACATTAATGTATTTTGAGTGAGGATTGAGGTTAATATTATGTAAGGTGAAGGTTTTGTCAGATATTTTTCTTGAGTTAATATTGTGTCCGGTTAATGTTATTGCAGGTTAATATTTGTTAGGTTAATGTTATCTCAGGTTAATATTAGGTTAGGGTAAGATTATTTCAGGTTAATATTATGTTTGGTTAAGGTTATTTCAGGTTAATATTATGTTAGGTTAAAGTTATAGTAGGTTAATATTTTAAAGACTTCATCAGCAAAAAACCTCTTAAAAAACGAACCAACACACATACCTGCCATTATACCTCACACCTTAACTGGTTCCCGCTGTTACCACTTTACTGATACAGGAGGTATGCATCACTGAACTAAACCTCTCGTAACCTCTCGTAAGTAACAGGTTTAAATCCTGTTATAAAAACAATGTGGTTTTAGGCGTTATAGACATGAAAATATTCTCATTAATATAAATAATCATATAGTACACTTATTACAAAGAATATAATTTACTTTAAGATCTCTATGTAAAAGAAATCTGTTCTATTTTATTTTTATTTAAATTCAATGCTCGTATGATATTTCCCAGCGAATTTTTGGTTGAAAAGTTGACTAAATTCTTTCTCATTATTTTTATTTATCTCTTGACACAAGGTCTGGTGGTGGTGGGTTTGGCTATGCACATCTACGAGGGTGACGGATGCCTTGACTACTGTCCCAAGTCCGTCAACTACAACCCTGTGTGTGGTACTAATTACGTCACCTACATCAACCCTACCTATCTCCTCTGTCAGAAGAAGTGTGGAGAGCCAAGTAGGTGTACCTGTAGAAGTAGATGTAGTGTGTCTGAGTTTTGAGATCAAGGAAGGTGATTATTTACATATCCAGGTAGATGAAATTGTACTGTTGTAGAGTTTCCAAGTAGGTCAGCTTGTAGAACTCTGGGTACTCAAAGATGAACCTGTAGAGATCCAGGTAGATGAATCTGTAGAAATCTAAGTAGATGAATCTGTAGAGACCTAAGTAAATGAATCTGTAGAGACCTAAGTAAATGAATCTGTAGAGGCCTAAGTAAATGAACCTGTAGAGGCCTAAGTAGATGAACCTGTAAAGACCCTAGTAGATAAACCTGTAAATACCTGAGTAGATAAACCTGTAAAGACCATACTAGATGAACCTGTAAAGACCATACTAGATAAACCTGTAAAGACCCTAGTAGATGAACCTGTAGAAACCTTACTTTCGACCATTAACCTTTAGAGACCTGTACAAAGTAACTAATAGAAACCCTGACTCCTACTTTTATTAGACAATCTCCCTGGTACCACAATAAGGGCGACACGTGAATGCGGTAATATCATATTAAGAGAAATCAATAAAAAATGGTCTTAAAATGCTGAAAATTTAACCCAAAGAATTAATTTCCATTTCGGGTGATAAAATGCGATTATTACGTGTTGTCCCGAAGTAGGAATTCATATCTGATGTATAAAATAGATTAAGAAACTCCACGTTAATGTTTTGTAAAGTCAAACATGAACTAGTTTCCACAGTCTCAGAGCTTTTGCCAACAAATTGGGAAAGTCTGGATGGAGCCATATACACACCTAGTCTAGTGTGTTATGTTGAGAAAACTTATCGTCGTCATGATTCGCAAACAGAGACACTAACACAGTATTAAGATGTAATTTTTTTTTTTAGTATAGTCACCAGCAAGATTAATGTTGGGCTCGTGTATGGCGCCTGGTCCCTCCCTCTCTCTCTCTCCTAGACAAAATAATGATTACTTGGTCTCTTAAGGAGTAACCCGTTGGATGATATTGTCCACTTTATTGAACGTCTCCCGGCTAACACCACCTAATTCACACTGCACTCTCCTCCCCTCAGACCTGGGCGTGGCGCACTTCTCCTCCTGCGTCGACTGGATAATCGGCAGATTCAGGTTATAAGACGACCTTCAGGATGGGCCGAGTGACTGGTTCACTTCAGAAATATCCTTCCTTTAGAACCGTTTGTTTTGTTTCACCGACTGCCATCCCGTTCAAAACTTATTTCAATTACTCGACTATAGCCTTACAAAAAATGTGGTCACCTTAATCTTGAGGATGAGAGCCTTAAGACAACTGAATTTGAATATACCTGAATATGACCTCTTTCTTACACTATACGAGGTAAAAATATAAGTTCAGGATATGTGCTCAACATTTTGCTTTCCTCAGCTGGTGTTGAAATGCTTTATATCATCACTGTTCTGGTGTTAGTGTAGGTGGCGCTATCTGCACCCTCATACACTTGACAGAGTAACCATATATCATTGATTTATCATCTAACACACGCGTGCAGGCTAGTTGTCATTGATTTATCATCTAACACACGCGTGCAGGCTAGTTGTCATTGATTTATCATCTAACACACGCGTGCAGGCTAGTCGCTGGCACGTGGAACAGCCTTAAAATTAAAAATTATGGTATATAATCCTTGGATAAAATTTTCTCCCAGAATTATGTAATGTGACCGTGTCTGGTTAGGTTAGGTTAGGTTGTTTTGGTGCTTTAGCTTAAAAAAAGGTGCATTTCAACTTCTTTAGTTACGAGGAATGTTCATCTAGAACCTTTGAGAATCTAGACCCCCGACCTTTAGAGCGAGTCGGTGCGTGTCCAGTGTCCACTGTTGTTGGTGTATAACTGTGGTGAGGTGTTACGACAGAGTTACTTATATATTTGCTACTTATTGTTCCTTTATAGATTGTCTAATAAAATAAAAATTGAATTACGGAGATTGAATAATACCTTTGATTATTACTGTAGTTGGTTGTCTTAGCTGTACGTGTGTGTGTGTGTGGAGTTTACCATCCACTTCCTATAGTGAAATAAATGAATATCAGGATTGTGTTGTCGACTACCTATTAACCTTGGAATCATCTTCAATAAATAGGTATTAACAAAAGGATACTTAAGTTTCTGCGTGTAAACTTAATGGCAGTCTTTAGAAAATTGATGACAGAAAAGGTGGTAATGTGACGCCGCTATACTTTATCCAGGGGTGCTATGCCATGTTATCCATTCTGGAACTACAGTAACTCAAAATAAAAATTTAAGTCTGGGTATATCAGTAAAGTTAATCGTCTAGAAAATATACAATTAAAGACACTGAAATGGTTGATAAAATAAAGATAAATGTGGGCAGACAAAGGAAAAACTCACCATGAGACAGAAGGCTACACTGAATTACGCGATTTACCTTTCAGTGTATCATTCAGGCCGTAAAATTTTTCAGGAATATTCTACTTGTATACCGCATGTGTTCCATATCTTATCAGTGGTAAAGTACTTTGATAAACAACACGCGTTATCTCTGCTTACGGAGTCTTATATATGTTTACGCTTTACATTGAGATTCTTAACTTATACCATGAAAAGAGGAAATAAGTATATGCAGTATTAAAAAAATGGATCCTGCACATAGTAAGTAGTCTACCAAATTCACGCATCGGTTTAGAAAAAAAAATTACATACAAATTATGCTTTATACTTAGCCCTGATACCACCTGGTTTCCGGGAATGAAAATAGTTCCAATTTTACAAACAATTTTCTAACTAACTTCAACATACAGGTATTTCAAAGCATTGCAGTTATGTAGTACAAGGTAAAGAAATAAACATGACTCATTATTACCGGGAAACGTGGGGAAGTATAATATAGATTGGAAAGCGGCCCGAAATGTGTTCATGGGTCCTAAAAAGTGCTGAGCCAAGAAAATAGATGGCGCTGTCATAGATTCAGACCGCACATCTTTTTTAATGGTAGGGATAGTCGCTTTCCTATCTTTGACACGAAGTTGCTCGAAATTTAGCATGGTGCTGCGCGCGCAACCTCAGTCGCTGAGAAAACGCGACAGAGCGCGTGAGCCAGTCAGGGTGAGTTGTCGTCTGTCGAGCTGAGGCAGTGTTGTTTGGACGGTTAAGGCGTGTGGATGTTAAACGCTCCGCCTCTCTGGGCACAGCATGTGTACCCCGTTGCCCTTGATGCCCCTCGCTGGTACCTTGCTACCCTCAGAGTGACAGTGGCTGTTTCACTCAACCTGTGAATTAGCTGTAAAGATTTGTTGTTATAAGCCATGCTTACCGGCTGTGTAGAGTGTAGTATTGATTCGGTGCTTCCCGTGTTGATTTGTACCCGAGGCAGCTGAATAAAGCCGAGGGCAGCTGGTGATGGTGGTGACAGTGCTGAGAGGACACATTCCCCTCTAAGGTGGCCGGTATTAACCCAGAAACCAGTGGGAGGGAGCCAGGAGAAGGAGAAATGGAGCTAGACCGACAGTCCCTCGACGAATGGGCGAAGGATAAACCCCTGAGCATCCTCCAGTTGGACCCGGCCGATCGTGCCGTATTAAAGATAGCAGGTAAGAAGTAGGGTCTTTTACCTGTGTTAGTATGCTTCTCAGTTACGGGGCGAGGAAAAGAGATATAACTGAAATTCGTCAAAAGAACAGATGCAACAAAAACAATGTATGACGTGGTTGAGGTGGTAGTTGGTTGCCAGCGCTGTGATGACCCCGCCCGCCTTCCTGCTACTACCGTCAGAAAATGTCATTAAGGTATTTTATGCAGCACACACGAAATATATGTAAGTGGTAGACCACCTTGTTAATTATACAGTTATGTTCAGTATAAATAAACTTCCTGCGAACAAAATTATTTTATTTTTGTTATTGAATGACATTTTTCTATCGTCAATTGTAGGCTACTAAGCTTTTTCTTGTTCAGAATTCTGTTCAGTTACTGTAATTAGCCAAATATGTGTTCTGTTAATATGGGTCAGCATGTGTTATGTATCTTTTCCATTCTCTTTCCCTTAAATGAAAGTCTTGTGGTAAATTACAAAGGAAGGTCAATAAACTCTGGTGATCTCATTGGTGCTTGGTAAACCCCGTCCGTTCATGCATGCTCAAATGTCATTGATACCGCCAACGTTACAAATTGTAGGGGAACAAATCTTGTGGAGTATCTCATTTTCATCTCGAATTATTAGCTACTTCAGGTTAAGGTTGAGAAGAAGTAAAGAAAACGAATATCAAGGATTTGAAACTAGTAACTTCATGATCGTTATTTTCCGTAAAATTGATCTGTTCTCCATAGACGCCCCACAACTGCAATGCGGCTTATGATTCATAGTATGTTACATTAGGAGCATCTGTTAGGACCGTTTATGTATACTGTAACACATTTGGTGATGCGAGTCTGTCGATGTATCTATTTTTTTTACGGAAGCACTTGTCAATTGTTTACCACGATGAAAAATGTATCAGAGAGAGTTATTGTTTTCCAGATACATCATAAGGGAAGCATCACAAACAGTTTCACTTGAGCAGCTTCCCGCCTTGTCCTGGGGCTTAGGCACGAGCTGCTTTCGTCTGTTGTCGTGGTGTGGGTGGGTGTGTCTTTCTTGTGTGATGTTACATGATGGCTTGTGAGATAATCTAGACTTGAAGTGTAATAAAGTAGACTCATTGTTAGGGTTCACTCCTGCCGGCCGCGGAATATGAGTAAGGATCAGTGGTGGGAAGGTGGAATTGCTAACTGCATGACCACAACATATTCCTGATTTTTTGTTCAACATAAGTGGCTTTTCATGGGCCAGACATATATATATCATTTAAAGGTTGATATCTTGTGCTGTTGACATGATTTATGTATATGCATTAGGTATCCTATGTTTTGTTCTGAGTAAAGTTTAAGGCGAACAGGAACAACCGGTTTCATCCTTGGTAACGCTGCGGTGAGTCAGAGGTGCCAGCCATTTCCTCAGAGTTGCCTGTTTTGCTCTTATTTCGAACTGTTTCTTGGAATATGAATTACTTTAGGTTTTTATTTCTTGATAATGTGCACCGGGTTATATATTTAATTGATAAAGGATGCTTATTTATCGGTCGCACAAGCCCACGTTACCCTCTCAAGTTCAAAGTAAACAAATCGGTTACTGATACCGTAAGCATGCAAAAGGCTGGCACTCCTCGTCTCCTTCACTTCCCCTTTGTTTAATTACTTTTTTCACTGAAATTATCTCCCTTTAGATCTTAACCAGGGAATATAACATGCCCTAGAGTATAAGTGTTTGTATTATCGAGGCGGAACTTGAGCTAGCAAGCCGGGAGTACAAGAGGAGTATTGGACGGTCGCACTACGTCTGGCAGCTCAGAGCTCCCCTCCACTCCCGGTGCCGCCACTGCTTCCCTCCCTCGCGCAACCGGTCTCTTTAGTAGGGCCTCAGGAGTTCAGATATCGCTCATTCATGATTTGATCACCACCTGGGCATTTTATTTTCCTCGATGACATGTTTGAATTTCATTGCCTCTTTTAAAGGATATTTTTTGGTTACCGTTATCTTCAACTAAACTCTGTAAACAAAATAATAAAACTACTGCAGTTATACCAATCAATGAAACACAAAGGTGCATTAGACATTACGAAGGATACTAATAGTTATATAGAAAGCATTCGTGAGCCTTGACAGATGACGCACTATTATTTATAGAGTAATACAGTAATGGCTTCAATTGCATTACTGTCGCTAATTAAACGAGGGTCTGTTTTTTATTATGCTCTATACAGTATGTTTACTGTAATAACTGGTATAGTTGTATGTATTTGCAGGTCAGAGTGATGAATGGTTGTATCACTGGATATCTCATAACAGTAATGAATAAATACTCTTAGATAACCAGTGAAGATCAGAGCTAACAGAGAACAGTTCACCTTTGCTAGTTTTACTAACGTGCAGTATGTTGAAGAAAGTTCCCATTTCATAAGGGTCTTATGCTTTAGTACAGTAGTTTTCGCCCCGAGAAGGTAGTGAGGATCGGTGGATGAGTAGAACAGTGCCCTCGAGCTTACAAGGTCGAACTTCCGCTGTAAGAGAAACGCGTCTGTGACTTGCGGTAAAGGCTGGAATATCATTGTAATGACCCGGAAAGGTGATCTGGGAGAGCTTGGTAATCCAGTGCACGTACACCTGGGCACGGCAGGATGGGGCTATGTGCGGGGTTAATTTGGTAAATGTCACGGTGCGGTAAAGCAAAAATTGTACCACTCTGTGCTGCTTCATGAAATTACACAATGCTTACAGTCGACCAGGTGGCTTAGTGTGAATGACTGGGAGTACTAGCTGATATATTTAAGTGATGTTCAACAGGCTAGAGTGCCATAACAGTGTGATTAACTAGTGAAATTCAACAAAATTTATAATATACAAAATATGGGCTAATTGTTTACAGTTTAAATAGAAGGCGGATAAAAGTGTAAATCATCATAATACGCTGTTTACACTTTTCCTTCTCTGTACTTCCCATCCAAGGGTGTTAGCTGGATTTCACTCTGCCTAAAAAAAATAAAGAATTTTATAGGCTTAATATATCAGATTTTTTAGTCATGTTGATTTTTTTTACACCATTGTGGTAAGGGTTCACAGAAAGGGGGGCGGGCGATCCCCTCTACAGTTTAGGTCGTCCCCTTTGAAGCTATAATTCAAGACCCAATCTCCCCTCCTGTGTTTCCCACTCCCCCACACTGTACGGTTGTATGAGGTTGAAAGGAAAGGAATTCTAACACGTGTTCACAAACTTTCAGCTGGAAATTCAGACACATTTTTGTCATCTGTACGTTTCATATTGCTTCTTTCCTTGAACTCATCACTAACTGGTAGGAGAAGTATGGTTCAAGGCTTTTCAGGAATCATTTATTGGTGTTAATTGGAGTATTGTTATTGACAGT